CACGGGATCAACCTATAAATATGAACAGGTAATGTTATTTATTTACGTTGTGCTCCCCAGCGAAAACACACTTTAAATAGCTGCGCGTCCAGGTTCAGTCACCAGATCTATGCCATTCATTTCGGCTGTCAGACCAGCTCCGCGCACTCCCTGGCAGCGCTTGCGTCAGGAAACGCCGAGGCTTCTCCCCGCTGCACAGGCCCCAAGCCGTACTTCCTCTACATATGGTCCCTTTGCGGTTCCTACCGTTTGATATTAGTTTGGCAGACAGCTGCCGAACCAGCTCCGGGATCCTGTCCCACTGGCCCTCGGACCGGCAGCGCTCGATCTCGGTCTCTAACCGGGACCCCGACTTTTTCGCTGCCATCTTTCCCCAGAAGCCGCGTACCGGGGGTCTAGAATGAGAGACCAAAACAAGCCGGGGTGGCAACAACGGCTTCACCGGGGGGAAACCAACAGAGTAAAACAGCGACACCCAACGGTCTGCGAATTAACAAATGATCCCTCAAATGACAATTACTGTATTTTACCGGATACTGGCTTTCTATTTTTTTTTTAAATTTAACATTTAACCTTAAGAAGGGGTCTGTCGTTTTGAGTAAATACACCCCTTTATCCTCACAAATGGCTATAATACTTAACCACCAACGCATGACCACGTAAAAAGGGTGGTTAAATATCCGTCAATCCGAAAAGATTCCATAAGGAATCAATTTCAGTTATATTCTGATACGAAGGTGAAATTTGACTTAAAAGAGATTTTGATTATACTGGAAAGAATAGAATATCCCATGGGATAGGCCCACATCACACACGGTTCCAACTGGACGGCATTCCCGCTGTTCTCCAGATACAAGCGGATCCAGTTCTCATTCTGGATGCTGACAGACGGACAGGACAGGCTCAGAATCTCATTGCTACTTTTGTTGTTGCTTTCAGTATGTATTTTACCCTACTGCCTGTACAGAACTATACTGGGTTGTTTGTATCGGCTACCAGCTGCATTCCATTATAGCCATTCCAGGAGCTCTGCAGGTGATCCCTAAAAACACCCAGGCCATCAGTCTGGATCAGGAGTCCTTTTCTTTCCAGTACAATCTAGCACTTAAAGCAGTTATTTAACAAACACTGTATGTAGTCTATAAAACTCACAACATCAGAGTTGTAAAAGACCACAGCTGGAGAATGCTGCAGTTTGTGGAACACTAATCTGCCCAAGGAGAATTGACCGCTTACATTTTTTCAGTTGGTCTTCTGCTAATTTCACGTCAGAGGGTCTCCTGTCAGCTTTTAACACTCTCAAGGGAGGAATCGGAGCTTCTGTTTTTCTGCAGGAGCACATTTTTTCAAATTAAAGTTCAGATGTCTCAAGACAAGCTGTCCTGACATCTGTTTGATCTTTAAAATGTAATGGGGGTGCTTGTGACTGCTTAACGGAAGAAAAAAACACTAAAAAAAGTCATTTCTGGACACGCTGTTTGGAGGCTTTGCACTGTAGCATTTTAATGTACCGATAAATTGTAACAATTAACATTTTAATAAAGGTTTAAAAACATGAATAAAAGAGGTAAGTTGCTTTTTCCATGTATTTTTCTTTCATCTGACTAAGGCATATTTCAGTAATTGTACATGCATTTTATATATGTCGAAATATGCTATACAAAAGTAAAACAATTGCATGGGGGAAAATGTGGTACTATATCAGAAGATTAGTTTATGTCATAACAATATAAATATTTTCAAATTATTAAATTTTCAAATTCCTCCAAACACATAATTTTAACTATGAAATAATTACCAAAAGCCAGTTATATGTTAAACTTGTTTTGTCAAATAGGGAAAACAAATGTTTGCAAACTGGCTCTGTAAACACTGGAGTCTCAATCATTACTTTAGGTTATGTCAAGGACTTTCAAAGAAAATCCATGCTTCTTTTTTAAAAAAAAACATTTCTAAATTTTAAAATCAGGCCTAGAAAAATGGGTCCCAGCAACTTCTGGTGATGAAAGTACTCATCTCAGCCTATCAACTGATCTTAAATAAACACAGAAAACAAAACCCCTTTTACAGTTTTGTACCTTTTGCAAAATTGCATGTTTCCCATTCATTTTATTGAATACATATTGAAATAACAATACATACTGAAATACCCAATACATTTTGAAATACCTGATACATGCTGAATTGCACTGGGTCACATTTGCAGTTTGTAATGCGTAAAAAATCCTGGGTGTCACACCCATGTCCACATGAACTGATGCAGCCTCACTGTGCACTGTGGCGGGGCACCAGTGAAAATAATGTGCACAGCACGGGGCCTTAACACAAAGGCAATGCAGAATGAGGGGAGTTATTGTACAGCCATCACCATACTGAGAATAGCAGCAGTGAAACCAGTCAGCCCTTAATCGAGTACCACTGAACACGTCTTTAACATACACTTCAAGTCCATTCATGCGTTCGTATTCACGATGGTAAAATAAATTGAAATTTGGCATGTCTTGAGTGCACCGCTCTGAAGGTTTTAATGTGGCACAGGGCAGGTACTACCTTAGACAACATCTCCTCTGTACTTTACCAGGTGCAAAGGATTAAAGTACACATATAACAGGACTCTCGGAGGAGTAACGGGTCCTGTACACATGCTGCTAATAGGGACATTGGCCATGACAGGCGTCAGGTGGTATTTTAATACATGCAAGACGTCCAGTGCAGCAGGTACTCTAGAACCGTCGGGTAGGGTTAACATTTCCGTTTAACCTCTGCTGTCACCCTGCACATATAAAATAGAAGCAAACCTCATTCTCAGTTTCTAGTTCACAAGAACGTACACCGCGAACATGAAAGAAAAAAAAAAGGCGAAAACTAGACCGACATAAGTATGTGACAATACACGACTACTCAACCTGTGATTCCTAAGGACCGAAAAATAGGGACCTGTAGATGGTCAATTCAGTTTGTTCCCAGTAGACAGAATCCTACTCGACTTGTTTGGCACTGTATACAGGCCCTGTGGTATTTACAAGGGAGGCAAAGTTCAGTATTTGCATCAACCTGTTTGATACATTAATTATCCCTTTTTACATATTGGAAACGTCCTTTCCCATTCCCCTTGCACATTTTCACAGACTGGACTGCGGATGCCTCACACAGGCTCCAGAGGTCGATGAGCCGGGTGACCAGTGCCTGAAAGCTTTAATACTGTACTGGAAGGAACACCGTAAAAGAAACCAGGAGCAGCAGTACTCTGTATGAGGTAAACATATCAACACTTCAAAAGCAAAGGAAAGACTCTTTACATGGAGGAGAGGAGACACGCTAGAGAGACTTTGAGACTGGCACTGAGTACGGCCAAGATCGAAATCGAGCAAGAGCAGCCACCAGAATGAGATTCGGGTATGCTTCTTCGTTTCCCACGCTCTCGCGTACTGGCAGTGGAGACAGAGGCTGCTCTTCGAGAGGAGTTTCCAGTGCTCGCTGCTGGAGGGAGGGAGTGCAGTCCAGTCTAAGTCTCTCCCCGGTTTCCCCAGCGACCGCAGCATCTCTCCCCCTCTCTGGCGGGATGGGCGGCCTAGCGCAGACGCTACGACGGCAGGTTTGAAAACCCGGGGACTGCTACCCGCGAACACCTCACAGAGCAGCGGCACGCCGAAACGAGAAAACAAAACGGATCCGCGTTTAACAACAGAAAACGGTCTTTAGAACATGAGAAGACAGACGTAATGGCACGATGTCACATTCCCGTGGAGGAAACACAGGCCCAGGGATAACTAAGAGTGCTTTATGGTGTATTTGCCTTTCTGGAGCTGGGAAATGTATAGCTTAGATTTGCTGCCGTCCAGTCGTTTAAACCACACTTCATCATGGTTAATGGTTGTTATAATGGCACTACAAGGAAGAAATAGAGAAGGACGATTAAAAACAAAACAACTTCTTTGACAAACACATTTACAGCACACACACACACAACAGTCTGGAAGACCTCCAAACCCTTTCGCGAACCAGTGAAGACAAGCCCGAGAGCAGACGTCACCTGGTGGGGTATTCGTCTTTCTTATCGATGCATATCGTCTGCCCCCGGCTGTACCACTCCCCGTCGTAGAACAGGCGCCCCTCCTCCGACCGCGCGCTGTGCTGGTGTTTGTCGCTCTTTGCTGGGACTGGGAGGCAGAAAGAGGCACGGTTTACAACGCACACCGGCGCTGTCAGGACAGGCCTCCAGAAGACACCCACAGACCCCAGCTTCTGAGACTCGATTCAAAATTCACACAAATACCCCTTTTCCTCCCTCCTCGCTTCTTCTGGAGCGTCAGTGCGCACAATAACCATAAAAGTGTGTGCTTCCTGTTCATTCTGATAACAAAAAACATGACCTTCTGTCATGTTATGTTGCTTTTTGTCATATTCAGTCTATTCGTTTTCAAAACAGGCCTCTAGGTCATAAAAGATGGAAACACGAATCACAGTCAGATCATCCCTTTCTCAAGGAGTGCTCCAGATGAGAGGCATCTTGCCATGACAGGCACTGAAAACCAGCCTCCCTAGGAAGAGAGCAAGTGCCTGGCACCCCAGGAGCACGAAAGGGAATGCAGCTTTGCGCGTGACCTGAAGAAAGGCAGATAAAGGAACACAAACTTGAACTCACCGTCGTGCTTTACTCTGTGCGGCCCCAAAGTCGCCATTGCCTAGAGCACATGAGACAAGACATTGAGGTACAGGGTGGGCATAGAAAACAAGCACACACAAGAGCCAGCGTTGCGGATCTCATTCTGGGGCAGGGAGTGTTCTATTCCTAACGGAAATAACCTTTCCCCTTCGGGGCTCACACCCGCCTTCCTGGGTTTAACCTCCCTCCTGCACTGCCTCTTTCTCTGTTGTGTTTTGTGTTGCTATAAGTCTTCTTCCTTGCTTTTTTCTTCAGGAAGGCAAGTCAGCCTCTGAGCTGTGCTAGCTCAAGGGTGCAACACAGATGTGCGATTTTTACTACCCACACATCGGCTGCAATATTACACAGGCTGTCCGGTTAGACTGCCGCTCTGAGTCTGCTGTACTGTAGAAGACGAGGTAGATTTGTTTTTTAAGCATCGTTCGTACCGCATACCTTCCTTATCGTAGTCCAGTCTTCAAGTACATCGAGGTCTTGCAGCATGTAAACGATATATGGTCGTGGGAACGTTAAAGTTAATGCACTGGGGGAAGCTGTATACAGAAGCTAATGCTTAAACCTAGAACTGATTTATACAGATACCAACTGGTTTTTCCAGTTTAGGATTTGCCAACGATAATCATTTGTGACCACAGCAATACCAATGGGGGAGAAACGCCTTCTGACCGCCCTCTTCCAGCAGCTGAAGGAGAGTCATATCGGCACACCCCCGATTGGGTCGTCCCGACCTCCCGTTCCCGAATCCCACTCGAACCCGAGACGCCTGACCCGCAGCTGGGGCGCGAGACCGACAGCATGCCCAGCGTGGTCACCGTCTGCGCCTGGGCACGCATGCAAGCCGAGCTGTGAAAACACACGCTTGCTGCCGCAGGCCAAGGTGAACTTTCAGGCCAACGAGAGCACGGGGATTTGCACAGAGGGTTTGCAATGTGACTCCAGAGAGCACCTGGAGCTGCTGCTCAGCACTCAGTCCCTTCTCACAGCCACAGCTGCCTCCCTGCTTCCACAGGCTCCAGCACAGCGCAGGACAGAGACACAGCAGCGTCTTGGCCTGGCGGCAGGCAGCCGCCGTCTCACGGCGCCCAAGGCGTCCGAAACTCCTGACTTAAGAAACACAGTGAAGGATATCGGAGACGACAATGGGCTTCTTCTTCTTGTCAGGGCTGAAGGGATCTTTCTTCTTGTTCTTCCTCGACTGCAGTTCATCGTTCCAGAGCTCTGCAACCATACAACCGAAAGGCTGTTTTTGTCCAACTGCCTGTTACTGTTTATCGAATTACTACAGGAGCTGACACAAAGCATCTGAGATCCAACTCAAACTACTATTTACAAATGCAGAAAACAAGTGGTAAACGTTCTGTGGAATTAACAGCCTTACAATTATAAAAGAGTGCATGCTGAAACCATGTTGAACCTTGAGTCACCCATAACTAATGACAGTTCTAGGCTCATTCCAGTCCCAACCCCTAGAATTCACCGTAATCCTGCAAATATATACGTATGTTTTAGTAACAGTACTGGACATGGGCAAAGACTTGGGGGCGTTACCCCAGCACTAACTCATCCTGTCCCTACCCTTGCCTTTAACTAAATCTGTACCCTAAAATATGCCCACGTCCAGCAGAATTTACAACAGATGATACAAGCCCGAGGTTGCAATAAAATGCAATTGTGTTCGCTCCACTTCCAATACTCTGCCAAGCGGCACGGGGACTGGCGGGGAGGGGCCGGAGCCCGGGGCAGGCTGGGGCTGGCGTCGGTGGTGCTCCCAGCCCGCCTGGGTCAGACGTACCCGAGGTGATGTCAATACTGTGGCGGTCCTCTTCCAGGCGCCGGATCTTCTCTTCCAGCTCGTTCTGCACCGTGTCGAACAGGAGCAGCTTTTCGCTCTGAGCGAGGGAGGCAAGGAAAAAAAAAACTGACTCGTCAGTCGAGTAGCCACGCCTCCCGACAGGTAAAACTCAGCTCGGGGAAAAAAAAAATCGCCATAACATAACATTCGTTTTCATTAAAACAGCCACTTAGTTACACAACTTCAGTGGGTTCAGGGACTGGGTTCCTCACCTCCCAGTGCTGAAATGCCGCTTGGATCTCACAGTCATATTTGTTCTTCACCGATTCCAGACACAGCTCTCTGTAAATCCCTGGAGATGGGAGAGGAAAAGCAGTTTACAGCCTCCAGCTTAGACACCCTCCTGGAACGATCTTCCCTCTTTAGACCTTGATGGGTAGTTTGTGGGCCAAAATTGCCCCGAGAGACATGGCATTCCACTCAAAAGAAAAAAACCCAGTGTATTTCTAAAAAAAAACGCTTGAATGCTCTCCGTGAGTGCAGGTTTGGAGAACAGAACAGGGCAGGGTTATAACACACAGCTGTCCTCCACAGCCCTGGAGTCAGGACTCACACACACCTGCCACCTTCGTCCTGATCTGCATATTCTCCTGCAGAGTGGCCAGGGGCTCCAGGTACTCTGGTGCCTTTCCTGCTATGACTTCTTGCAGTTTGGCATCCACCTGGCTGAGCCTTTCCTTATACAGCCTAAACAGAAGGGAGACAAAAGGAAATGAGCATCTTCCTACCCATTCAGCTTGTCGTCCACAGATCCTGGGGCTTCCTGAAAACTCCCCCCTTCAGAAAGTGGCAGGGAAAAATTTCAGCGTCCCTTACTCGAGTTTAAAAGTGGTAAAGTGGGTATTGAAGGCAAGACATTTTAGCGCCTCGTTCATTAAAAGCGCAACGCCGATCTCCTTACTGGTCTTTGAGGTCCGTGAACTGTTTCTCCAGGTTGGTCATTTCGTCTAAGCACTCCATTCTCCTCCGCTCGCAGTCTTCATCGTCCATCTCTGCTCCGTGCACGAAAAGAGACACACAGAAACAGGTAAGTCCGGCTTCACGCACAAGGCGAATCTCCCAACCGTTACAGCCACACTATCGCTCTACATATTGGCAGGAGCTACAGATCTGGGGAGGGAACGGGTGGTTATTGCGCTCCGAAGCACTTTGCAAAAACTAAAACACGTGGAGCTAGCAGGTCGGAGATTTCCGAAGCCGTCACAAACTAACTCCCGAGCAGTAACGGCGCACCGGGCGGCGTGACAGCTCCGGTCCTGCAGATGCGCCCCCCCATGATTAACACTTCGGGTCCCCGGGCGGCGGCACGAGAAGCTCGGGGCGAACCGGGGGAGACCCCCTCCGACCGCAGAGAAGCAAAGCAAGACCGGCGCTAAAACCCCTGGGTCCGCAGCTGAAAACAGAAACCCCCTCGGCACTGCTCCAGCAGAGGCGAGTGTCTCTGTGCTCCCCGGGGTGAGCCATGCTATCGATCGGTACAGGCGGACCGGACGTGATCGACGTGGCTCAGGCAACGTTTCTCGGGAGCTGAAGCGATCGGCGGCCACCCCACCTGAACTGTCTCCATCTTCAGACACGGACGAGCTGTCGGTGTCCTCCTCGTCCGAAGTGCTCCCCTCTTGCTCCGGGTAGTCCACCTCCATTTCTTCGTGGTTGCTTTCCTTTTTGTCCCGCGAATGCACCGGCATCGCCCCTTCGGTGTACCCTAAATACCGGCTGGCAAAACCCGCAAAAACTCACCGGTCCCCCTGTTTGCAAAAAAAATAAACAGACGCAAAAATGCCAGTGACTGACAACAGCCTGGCGAATTTCAGATTTTGAGCTGCAAATACGGACTCTAACAATGGCCAATCACACACAACTGGAGAAATAGTCCTCTCGATTCGACCAACCCACTCCAAAAAGGGATACGTTTAATGTAAGACAAGGATGGTTGACTGGCGCGTTTTTGTTGTTTTTTTTCTTGTTTTTCCTTTGGTTTTCTGGGACTTGTAGTCTTATGAGCCACGTGATTAGGTTGAAGGCGGCGGGACAAGGGAGGGGTTGAACTACATTTTCCAAAAGTCTGTTTTTCACTTTGCAAACGCCACGGCCCACTTCCGGGGTTGATGTGACATAACCGCATTCAAGAGCATGACGATTTCCCCTGTTCGGTTATCCCCGGAATACTTCGGGTAATTCCGATTTGATGTGGGCGGTGCCAGCCTCCGTTATTCAGACATTATTTATCGAGTTAACAGCAAGTGATTTCTTAGCACCTCAAGTCAAGAAGTGCGCTTGGTACGACTCAACAATCCACAAACCGAAAGGAAACTCAAGCTCCACAGCATAACATTCTGCTGCTTTAACATCTTAAACGAAATTTTTAGAGAGCAGTTCATTCTGCCTCAGAGTGGGCCTCCCAAATGTGTATTTGTAAGGGTTTAAAATAAACAAAGACATTTAATGTACTGTAAAAGGGAGAACTTTTTCACCAAGGTTGCTATTATGCTTTTGATTTTATCGCAATGTTTACCGTTTTGTATCTGGGTACTGTACAGTGAAATGCTATTGAGAAAGAGAATTTCATTCTGTGAAAGATGACTGACTGGTGTTGTACACTGTATGTATGTTAATGCTGTATGTTAATTCCTTACACCTATATAGTGCTTTTCTGCACACTCCACTAAAAGCGCTTTACAGGTAATGGGGATCCCCTCCATCACCACCAGTGTGCAGCCCCACTTGGATGATGTGCCAGTACTCTCCCCACACACCAGCTCTCAGTGGGGAGGAGAGCAGAGTAATGAAGCCAATTCATAGATGGGGATTATTAGGAGGCCATGATTGGTAAGGGCCAATGGGAAATTTGGCCAGGACACTGGAGTTACACCCCTACTCTTTTTGAGAAACACCCTGGGATTTTTAATGACCACAGAGAGTCAGGACCTCGGTTTTGGATCTCATCTGAAGGAACGCGCCTTTTTCACTATACTGGGGAATCAGGACACACATAGACCGCAGGGTGAGCGCCCCCTGCTGGCCCCACTGACACTTCTTCCAGCAGCCTCAGCTTTCCCAGGAGTCTCCCCTCCAGGTACTGGCCAGGCTCACACCTGCTGAGCTCCAGTGGGTTGCAGGGTGATATGGCTGCTGGACATCTTATGTATCTTAGTGTTCAGTGTGCAGTTTAACAAAAACATGTATTTTTTCAGTCACACAGGGGATATTCCATGTCCTCTTGGTTGTGGTTTCTGGGTGCAATATGCTGGCTAATAAGGAACCCGAGCCTCCAAACAAACCCCGTCTCCGAAAGGATCAAAACAAATGGGTGTGAGAAACGTGACTCTGGGCTCTTGGCCAGGCTGGCACAGCGGCGCCGTGTGAGCAATCCCACCACACGAGTGGGTTCGATTCGGGCTTCGAGCCCCTGTGGCCGGTGACGGACCGGTGACCTGTCCAAGGTGTGGTCCCAGTGTAGAAATACACCATCAGGACGGAGGGTGTGCATTGAATGTCTTTCGAAAGAAAAAAAAACAGGTCTGAAAGTATAGCCAATACGATTTCTTTCCTCGCGATCGTATTATCTTGCTCTGCTGTCGATTTCTCAGCCTCACCACAGGAGTGTGGTTGTGGTACAAAAGGCCAGGCAGCAGGGTTTGGGAAGCTTTTACAAAAATGGGACCCAGCAGTACCTCTCCGCACAGATTCCCAGCGAGCTGTAGTCCGAGAGCCGGCGCCTCACGCAGTTCCAATGTAATATACGGAAACTTCCTTTCACCACGAAAGCAAGGGAAATACCAGACGTCCACTGTAAAATTCGGTTGTGCCACATAAACCAGGACTGCCTCACGCTTGCTTGAACTAGACATTATAATTGATTGACGATCAGGCTGTTAATACTGAGGTGTACGTTAAATCTTTGTCACCACGATCCGCACAAAAGTATTTAAAAGTACTCGAAGCAAGATATTTTTATTCAGTGTAGTAACGTATTAAACACATTTTAAAAACATAGACAATTCTGTGGTGTTCACATTGTTTTCTCTTCCACAAGGATGCGTTGGAAAGCACTCGGAATAGACGGGCTTCGCGGCCCTGCAGCTCCGTACCGGCGCAGAAATGCCCCCCCGCCCCCGGGTATCCTCTTCTTCGCAGAACAGGGTGTTTCAGGCGCCCCGAAACTAGACAAAAGAAAAAAAATACGGTCGCCAAAATGAAATCGGCGGATGCTGAAGAGCAGTGAACGAGAAACGCACAGCGTGGCGAGGTTTCCATGACAACTGGCACCTCCGCTCTTGCCAATGACCCCCCCAAAAAAACAAAACAAAAACAAATCCAAGTCTTATACTGACGCGCTTTGCCTCTCGCCTCGTCTCTAAAGAGATGGGCGGCTGTCCTGCTCCGAGAACAGCGTGCTCTCGAAGCACGTTTGACCCGAGATGTAGTTCGAGTCGGTGGGGTTGGATTGCTCTGACTTCCATTGAGTTGTTTTTCCTCCTGAGCGCTCCGCCATGTTTGGAGACATTAGTGCTGTTTGGGGCGAGAGGTGTGTTGCTCTCTGAGGAGGGAAGGACCGCTTCCGATGACATTTTTGTTTCCCCTGCAAAATGCACACCTACCCTGTGCGTTTTATTTATTTATTGACTTTTTATAGCCCGCGGAGGCATGTGAATTCGTGTCCTTTTAAACGTTAACGGACCCCAGACCTCCTCTTTTTTAAAAAAAAAACAACAAAAACATACACGAAGATTTCCTAGGGGCTGGCTCCTTCCACCGGACTTTCCCTGTCTGCTTTCGGGATGTTTTCTAAAAAACCGCATGGGGACGTCAAAAAATCCACACAGAAGGTGCTGGACCCCAAGAAAGACGTCCTGACCCGTCTGAAGCACCTGCGGGTTGTGATAGGTGAGTCTGCTGCAGGTCTGCGGACATGCCGTCTGTGGGACAGCGGGACAGCGGGGCAGGGGGATAACCCCTGTCCCCCCGAAAGCATGGCCGGGGGTCTCTGGAACCGCAGCCGGCGAGCCCTGGGCTATTCCCGCAGGGCCTGTGAGTGAGCCAGCCTGCCCCTCGCCCGTCGGCTTATCGGTCCCCGTGGGCTACAAGTCGGGCTGTGTCGATTCGGCGGCTCCCCCGAGCGTGTTCATTTGTTTTTGTTGTGTCGGGGTGAAGGAGAAATGTTTGCGAGTGTGTTTTCCCCCTTTTTCCGGGGGTGGGGTTGTGTGATACGCTGTCCTCCCCGGGTGAGAGTGCTGTGATTCGCAGAGCACCCCCGGAGTGCGGAGTGGAGATGGCAGGGCGTCCGGCTCCCGTCTCCCGTCTCCGGAGGGCTGGTCGCTTGTACCTGCTGGCCGGGGTGTCCCGGGCTGGGAATACAGCGTGTGACCTCACCCCTCTTATAATGGGCTTGACCCGAGGGCTGCCTTCACTGTGTTTTATATGCCCTGTGCATAGTTTATCATGGGAGAAAACAATTCGCTGCTTTGCCATTTCTGTTGTATAGAAGTTACAACATATTTTGGGATAAAAAACAAAACAAATTAGGCATACTGTTTGTATTAGTTCAGGTGTGGAGCTGCGTCAGCATGCGTAGGCTACAAAGGAACGAGTAATAGGATTATTCCATGCTGAAAAGAGAAGAAAGAAAACACAGTATCACACACTGTATGATAAGTCAGTGGGCAACAATGAAGGGTACAGTATGTAGGCAGACCTTGATGTAGTATTCTCCAAGCTTCTCCAAAACGCACAAAACAATTCCTCCGTCTGGTGGAAATTCATTGTTTATTAATGGTCATGCCAAGCGTGTGTGTCCCTAAGAGCAGATTCTGCTTCACAGGCCAAATAAGAAACCCAGTGGCAAGTAACTCCGGACAGCTGGATGAGTTCAATGGTTGTTTCCTGAGCACCGAGCTGCATGCTGTCTGCCATGACAGTTAACAGTGGGGGAATGGACACGAGTGTCTTTGTGATCAGACAGTTGGCGCACCTGCAGCACTTGAGCCGCTGCACTTCCTATGAACAGCAGTCTCCTGAAGGGTTTTCTTTGTCAAGAAAGTCAGATGAAAGAGAATAGCAGGCCTCCTCTGTCAGACAGACTGAAAGCTCAGGTAGCAACTTCAAAGACCTCCTGACTGTGAGCTGTTGTCAGCTTGTCCAGATACTGCCTGGTGCTGTTTTAAATTGGAAGTAAAGCAATTAACACGAACAGGCTGTCAGTCAGTTGGGGTCGTCTTTCCCTTGGGTCTTCGGTTTCTGGCACCGAAAAGGTAACTGCACTGATCACGAGCCACATTCGCCCAGTCAAGAGCAGCCTAGCTAATCTTTGCTTTCATTTCTGTCCGGTTACAGGATATTGCTATGGGCATCCTGTAGCAGTTGGGTCGAGATCGGGAATCACCCTATTCCTTTAACACAGGAGATCTGCAAGTGCTGTTCCCGGTCCCACGTAGTCGCAGGCCGATGTGCAGGTTTGTTCCTGTACAGCAGTCATCGGTGTGCTGTGCTATCGCAGAGCAGCCTGCTTTGTTGCATTGCTCTGACTAATTGGACGAGGGGCCGGTAGAGAAAAGCACTGTGGAAATTAGTTTTTGATGACAGCCTGATGGGTGTGGGATTGTAGTTCCTTCTGATGAAGAGGATCAGTTCCTCTGTCTTCTCATTTGGCTGTTGTGTTCAAAAGAGCTCATGCAGAGCCAGAAGTGATGATTCCTCAATGCTGATGGGATCTAGGTTTGTTGCAGACCTTGAGGTTTCTGCATAGGCTTTGTGGAGTGGGAGCTCAAAGTTTCACCTGGAGCTGCAGAAACTCCCCGGTGGCCCGCTGAAATGGGCTGTAGATTAGCATTTAAGCCCAGCCCCAGCCTGTGTAATCCAGAACCACAGCAGCTCTGTCAGATAAAGGCACAGCAGGAGTCTGTGCTGGGAAGGAGGGGAAACTGTAGGCTGCTCTCGAACATAGGAGGGGACTGAGAAAAAAATCCCCCGAGCAGCTGAGCTGAGCTGCTTCCTACATGGGAAAGTGTCGTGTATTGGAAGTTTGTGTTCACACTTTAATACACTTGAATTCCACACTACAGACATGTTTGTTTTTATATTTCTTGTTCTGTTTATTTAGTAAATATGGGAGATTAGCCTTTTAGGGTAGTATTTTAATTTAGTGTAATATCTATATTGAACTAGGTGTCTACATAGATGTGGTTTAAATTGATTGTATGAAGTTAATGTATAGTTTGTTATGTGAAATAGTTTTGTTGTTTGTGCAGTGTTGTGATATGGCATGTTTCTTCAGTACTGACTTGGCCAGCCACATGTCTCCTTCAGGATTCAATCCCAAGCACTGTGCTATTGACCTGCTTTTCCAGATCGGGCCCAGACTGCTAACAGTGCCCACACTGCAGTCTTATAATAGGAATTCCGTAAATCAAGAAATAGTGGTAGATAAACTTGGACGTGTTTTATAATCCCCGTGAACTCATGGCGAAATGTATTTTTGTGCACGTTATTCCGCTGGGAGCTGGGGTGAGCTGGGCAGATACAAATTGGATTGTGTTCTTTTTGAATTGGAAGGATTTGGGGCTGGAACTGGCCGATCGCTTTGAAACGGCCTGTGGGAAGTGATTGTTACTGCTCCGTTGAGGTCGGAAGCAGAGAAGGGCAGGAGAACGACGTGCCTTGCTGCAGCCCTGGATGGACATGCATAGCGCTGTGGAGAGCCGTGATGGGCAGGGCACCAGTGCCCTGATGTGATATCTAGTACTGTAAACCTCCAGGAAAGCCAATCTAATTGGAATGTAATTACAAGGGGCAGTTCTAGACCTTCAAATAATGCAACTTCCTCTGCTTTACTTACAGCGGTGCTTTACTGCATAGTAAATCAGTGCTGGCACATGAGCTAGTTATCTCCTCAGTGCGTGCCTCAGTCGTTGAATGGCCTCTCCTCCTTCACACTGAGGTTTTTACAGAAGGAGCTCGTTGCCCGAAGGCAGGTGGTAGCTGTTCAGCCAGTTTTATGTGGCTTGCTTTTTATGGGCTTTTCTGAACTTTTGAAATATACGTATGTATACTTTAAGTGTTTCAAGTATGCGGAGCAAGTGAACTATTAAACGTCGCTAGTGGCAATTTGCTGTATAATTCATTTTCTGTGAATGTCCATTATGAGATTCTTATGACAGACTAGGGGAGATTGAACAGCCCACAGCTGGACTGACTTGCAGTATGTGCTCGCCAGACTTGTTAAGTTAATGTACCACCCACAGAGAAAAGTATGAAGGGATTTTTATCAAGATGTCCTTTTAACAACACTTCACCACTGTAAGTTAAAGTAACTAGCCTAGTACCTGCTTTGTTGAACTGACATTCCATTAATAAATTAATTATTACTCCAACCAGCTTTTAGATTCAAAGGAAACATGAAATACCATAGGTCTATTTCTTTTAGAAGTATTTGTTTCTAAATAGTTATCAGTATCCAGTATGTTCTCATCTTTCCTTTGATAAAATGTATGAACAATAGTACACAGTACATTTAGACAATTTAACTTTCTAATGAATTTTATTTATGTTACTGGATTGCACTGGATACATATTTTTCTTCCAGGCTTGTTATTTTCTCAGTTCTAAAGTGAATTCATCTCTTAATATATCTGAAACAAAAAAAGCTTGAGAGAACTAGTTGTAACTGGTGATGCTTGAATTCCCTCTAATTGTCTGTTTGGGGAATTTGGTCTGTCTTATGCCTCTGTCTGCTCTGCTGCACTGTGCAAGGATTTTTCTTGTCTGTGCTGTGAACCCATGGTTGTAAGATAGCCTACTATCTACTTTACTACTGCGAATTCCCTACTGAACAAGTGAGGCGTGGCTCTCCTTGTGTATTGTTTGAGGTATGAAAGTATTTCCCCTTCGTGCTACAGCTTTTCCCAGTGAGCTTTGCTAGAGAGGAAGGCCTGAGCAGGGTCAAGGCAAAGTCAGCTATCTTGACAGCATCTTTCTGACAGCTTTGAGCTAAATGATGGAGTATTTTCTTCTGCATATTTTAAGATACTTATAGTTCAATTCTTGCTGTCATCGCATTTGTGTCTTTGGCCATTTCCAGTCAAGTAGGAGGCCTGCGTCAGAGGTTTTTGTCACTTTTCAGAAGCGTTGGGGCGTGAACTCTGGTGTCCTGCCTGAATTCCTTTCTGCGCTTGCACAATCTGGCTTACCGAAGGATCCTGCTCAGCTGGTGAGGGGATTTCCTGGTCACCTGCGCTGTGCAGTGGGGCTGCTGTGCTGCACTTCAGAGGTGGATGAAGCTGATCCCCTCCCATGTCTCTGGCATGAAAAGCCCTTTATAAATGCAAGTAACTTATTTTTAAATTGGCTGTGGAAGCTCTTGGACACATTTGCAGTCCTCTGTATCCAGGTAGATGTACACATTATGTACACATTAATCAGCTGTTATTAATTAGCATGAGCTGTACTGGTTCTTCTCTCAGAAGACTGCAAATACAATGACTGTAGTTAAAACTAAAGTAGTCAAAGTTCTAAGTCAATTTTTTAGGTCATTTCATTCCAGCTGTGGCCCGACTGTCTTGGCTGCCTGAAGAATGGTTATTTTTCAGACCTGCCGACTTCACAAATGCTAGTCATTATTTTCTAAACAGTTTCGCCTTTCGCTCTGAATGAGCCGGACTTTTCAGAAACTCGGAGTCGCCGAGTTCTGCTCGAGCAGCAGTCCTGCCAGGTGTCTTATAAGGAAAAGGGCTCTTAAGACAGTATTGCGTTAAGAATCTTAGGTCGTCTTTTAAATGTGATCATTTGTGTTTGAAATCACATGCCTAATCGTTAACACCCATAGAAATCTAATTTTAGGATGCAATAACTCGTTTTTGGATTTGGTAGGATGTCCAAGAAAGTGCCTCAAGATATTCACAGCGCTATGCCTCAGGTAGCCCAGAAAACTGATGGGATTGGGGGAGGAATCGAGTGAATTATATTGGTATACACGGATTTTGCAGTTTTTAAAGTTGCATTGGATCATTGCTGTTGGTCATCTGGGTGATCTGGGTGAAGCATCACAATGTCCTAACTGAACTGGCACAAGGCAGAGACTCCTCAGATGAAGCCAGAAGGTGCCCTTGAGTGCTGGTGTGTTCCCGGTGAGCACTACAAGGAACTCTTGAGACCAGTACGAAATATTTGAAGTGAACAGAAATGTTCAGATATGCTCATAAACCAAATAATGCTATTCGTGTGCGGTGCATGTGATTGCAGATTAAAAGACAAGTTTCAGTGTTTTATTTGTGCTGTACATGGTCTAGCAGGGGAAGAAAGTGAAGGCCACCTGTTAAAATGGAAAGTTAATTCTGTAAAACATGCTTTTCATACTTGTGTTGGTCCTGTTCTGCCATTATTCTTCTGTAATCCGGTCAGGTGTGATCAAACAGCATTATTTGCACTGGTAAATATACTATATTCAAGTATGTTGTTGTAGATGTGAAGGTTCTACATTTTGTAAATGTTAGGATGTTGAGCAAGTTGTGGTTTCTTTTATCCTTCAGACTTTAGGTTGACAAACCAAATTAGTTTAAATAATTTTAATCCACATGATGGAGAGTTCCAGATGCCAGACACATTATTTGGGCTTCAGAAAGTTGGATGGAATGTTATTAGTGGTTTTATAAACTTTATCAGTTCTATACTTTAGGCTTTGACAGTTCTGTAATTGACCAGTGAGGTCTATTTTTTTCCTCTCCAGAGAATGCTGATTCAATTGACCTGAAGCACTTCTTTGACCAGAACTACTCCCATATCTACTATGTGTTTTTTGAAAATTTTGTGACTATTGAAGTCAGCCTAAAGCAGAAAGGTAAGTAATTGGCTCTGTTTTGATATAAACACACTTTGTGACTCAAAACTGACGTTGCCCCTGCGGAATCAGTTGGAACTATTTGAACTATTGCTCTCTGAAAACTGGGGTGATAATCCCCGTGCTTCCTCTTAATTTTAACATGATCGTTTTCCTTACTCTCTGTGTTTAAAGACAGTTTTATGAATAGCGCTCTTCGGCACTTTGTCACAGGTGATGTGGTAAGGCACCTGTTGTATCGACTCATTTCGGGGTTTCAGGTAAGCAACATGCCTAGAGTTAAATAGGAATGACGAGCGACCTTCTCATTTGACTGTAAACAAGTTCATCTTGAAGGGAAAAAAAATGGCACTGGCTATATTTCTCCTGAAGAGTGAAAAAGGAGTCCTTAGTTTTTTGATCGGAGTTAAAGCTCAGCTGCTGTCCCAGTACGGAGGTTGCAGATCCACAAGGCTCCCCAGTGGAGTAGCTCTGGCCCGTCTGGCAGGGGCAGTGGGCTCAGCTCACCTCTTTAGCAGTGACGGGGCTATGCCTTGCCAGAGGACTGTACTCACGCGCCCTGGCTCACTTGGCCTTGGCTTAGGTGTCGCAGTTCGTGGCAGATGGACCACTTTACCTGTGACGATACAGGTCATGACTGCTGCTGAAGGCTGCGCTACCGTCTCCTCCAGCAGGCAGGAGCAAGTACCATTTTTGCAGATGTCAACCATGATAGCTGCTTTGTTTAGACTACAGTGCAACAATGGCTCACTGTCTTAACTTCAGGCTGTTGCCTTCATCTCATACAGTACTGTGTGAGGAACCTTACCATTGCCCAACTTCCTCTGCTGTTGCCGAACCTGTCCAGTATGCGAACATGCATTTGATCTTATCCAGCGAAGCAGAAGTGTTTTAATTCTGGTTTTCATTATTAACGTTTTTGGCTGAGCAGTTTCAAAGAATCATCTTTGAAACAACTTGGAAATTGAAATTGAATGCCACAAAGGGGGAAAATGTATAGCAATATTTCACTGTCATACTGAATCTACAACTTCTGAAGCACAGCTATGTTTATGGTTTTGGGTAAATCAGTAATGTGCAGTATTGACAGGCTATGTTGGTGAATTGAAGTAAAGACCACTGTAAAAAGATGTTTGGTAAGCTGTGGTGCATTGTACCTTTTTAGAAAATTTTACTTATGTTTTGTCAACATTTCAGGTCACAAATCACAAAGGGAAGAACTTGACTCCATTCTTTTTATATTTGAGGTAAGAATTCCAGACACCCAGGCTTTACAGTGTGTCTGACAGCCCAAACCAGGAAGCTGCCTGTGAAACATGCGGGACTTGCGCTCTGTCTGAAGCTGCAGTCACAGGCCATTCAGCAGCTGTTTGTTAAAGGCTGGAACCAAACCCTCCCCTTGCAGAGCCGGGTTGTCCAGATCATAATATTTCACCGTGTGTCTTGCTGTTGAAGATGAAAACAGAAAAACAGCATGGCTCAGACAGACGTCTTAACATAATAGGGCTGATTTGTTCCTTCAGAGTGGATTCGGTTATTTTATTCGACTTGCTTTATGTTGTGCAATGAGGCTTGCAGGATTTTATGTCTGGTGTCCCAGCCTTTACAAAGAGAAGCTGTACCTGGTACTTCGAAAGGATATATTTTGTAATTTCAATATGACCATTTTCAAGAACACTCTCCCTCTCCAAGAAAAAATGTGCTGTGTTTTTTCTTGGAACATGTCCCACAACACTACATCTCTGTTATGCTGTCAAGGTGGAAAACCCGTTTAATGAGGTAGTTCGAGTTGTGATCGATGTCTGTGAGGTGAGCAGTGATTCAGTAGGAGTGCTGAGCTGCGCTTTGTTCTTCGCCCTGCTGGAGCATGCCTGTGAGCAGGGACACAGACTTGTCATCCTGTCTCGTCTCTGTCAGGCTTCACTGTGCTCCACCGTATAACTGGGTCTGTTGTAGTTGATTGATGTTCTTTTATTTCTAAAAATATGTACATTTGAGTTTACACTTGCACATTTCAAGTGTATCCTAGGGGGTTCAGCTGGGTATTTCCTCCAAACGTGTGGAAAGGCCTATCATAAGAAGGTCTCAATGAACCTTTGTGTCATGTATGCATAGTTTGCTGTCTCTTGAGTGATAATTTGTGCTCATGGGGACGTTTGATTTTTTTCAATTAATTGAGAATTCTGGTCATTTGCAAAGGGTGTGTCTGCAGCTCCCTCAGTCAAAACGGTACAAAAGGGGAATTCTCTATATTTTAAGATTTCCAAAAAAAAGTTTATTTTCCACTTGTAGTCGGTGTCCCAGGCTGCCGAGAAGCACACTGTAAAATCGCCGAGGCTGGCAGACTGTGCCAGAGTGTGCTAATCTCCTCATGTCTTCACAGAGCACTAAACATTTCTGATTTATTTCCGATTTAGAAAATCTTACAGCTTCTACCTGAGAGGATCCAGGAGCGATGGCAGTTTCACAGCATAGGTAACTTTTCTTTGGAGCTGTGTTTTCTCTTCATGTGTATGAAGGATTCCACCCTGTCAAGCTGTGCTATTGGTGGGATCCCTTCAGAGCCAGTGTATGCCACGTGCTGTTGGGAACGACTGTGTTCTGAGATGAACGGATCAAGCGTGTGGTATGTGGTAAACGTGTGGACCTGCGGCCTCATCTTCACTTGCCACTTCAGGCTTCTTAATTCAAGACATCCCAGAAAACAGTGTGGTGGTGTTTCCTGCTGTCAGTCTAGGGCACATGAGAGTAATGCCGACATAGAGTTAACCAAGGTGGTCTCTCCTTTTCCTTAGCACTAAGGTCAGTTGCTATAGGATGCAAGGATCACCAAGAGTAAATCAGAGAATGCCAAGGACTTGGGAAAGAGTTTTATCCAAGTCTGACCGAGAACTCTCACATGCATTGTCCTGAGAACAGAAGCGAAACACTTGTTAGATGATGGGGATCTGACTATTCTTTGTACCTTTTCTTCCCAGGCTTAATTCTAAAGAAGCTTCTCCATACTGGAAATTCCTTAAAGGTATTTATTCCTTCAAGACGTGCGAACAGGGAGTTGCATCAGCATGCTTGAGCTGCAAAGGAACAGATAAGGGTTCAATCCACGCTGAAAGGAAAGAAACACCGCATTTCAGCTGTGGAGACTTCTTGAGGTGTACAGGAGCCATCTTCTATACATGAAGAAGGCTCCACGGCCGAAACATTGAGTTTCTTTGCTTATCTTTCAGCATGCGTTGAACCTTTACCCTTTTTTTTTAAAAAAAGACTGCTGTTAAGGGAGCTGCTTACGTTTTGGTATTTCAAGCTTATAATTATGTGTTTATGATCCATTTCTCCTATTTCTTCATCGTTTTAGACTATATAGTCAAATGATGACACCAGATTGAGAAGGAATTATAAGGCGGAATAGGAAACCTCTTGTAAACAGGTCAACGAGTTGCGTCTTATTTTTGCCGTTGGTATTTCGGTACTTCACATTCCTGGATGACGGATCTGATTTTCCCCTCTAGATCCGGAGGGAAGGCGTCCGTCTGTTCCTGCTGTGGATGCAGGCGCTCCAGACGAACTGCCTTTGTGAGCAGCTGTGCATGTTTGCTTGTCTGATCCCCGGATTTCCACCTCCCATCTCGGAGCACGGACCTCGGACCCTGGACAACCTCATCAACCCCCCGCTCAGCTTGCAGGAAAGTGAGTTTCTGCAGCCGTCCCTCTCGCTCCTCGGGAAGCAGGAGTGTCAGACACGTAGAGCCCTCAGAGCCTCCGACATTTGTCATTTCAATGACTGTAGACTTTGGTAAAACGGGTAGGCTGTGGAATTTTGTTAAGATTTAAATATTGATTTTATTTGACTCAAATATTGATGTAAATTTTAAACATACGTTTAATTTAAGTTTTATCCTGAATTAAGTCACCATCTTCTTCAAACCAGTAGGGAATCAGCTTACTTAATAATTGTAATATGTCTAAGGTTAATATTGCCAAGAAATGAAAGCATGTTGTCTGACAAATCTCTTGTTTGTATCATGCAGTTTTGGTGTAACGTTGAAGGGTTAAGATCACCAACCTTAAGACTACAAATAAACCATTTTGTGGTTAATGATAAAAGGCTGTTACTAAACTCATTTTCAAAATGTTTGTCATATTAACTGTTTTTTTGGATCTGCGATGTCTGAAAATGCCCCCTAGCTGTAATTTTCTCACTGTTCTTCTCTTATAATAAGACGACTTATGAAACGGTGCTTTATGTGAGTCTGTGGAAGTGGGCATTTAGTTTGTTGTTTTGGGCCGAGCCGTGATTGAAGGAGCCCAGCAATTGAAAGCGATGACGTGTTTGCCTGTCTCCTTAGCACAAGTCACTCCTGAGGAAATCACCCCCCTGGTTTCTCCTCAGTCTGGAGACAAGGGTCAGGATGACCTTACCAGCTATTTCTTAGAAGCACTTTTGAAATACATGGTAATCCAGGTACTTGTCTTCCACTAACCCTACTGATGCACTGTGGTTGCATGCTTGACTGCTGTGCATGCTGAGTGCCACATGTTGCATGTGTGCCACTTCTGATGTGTCCTTCACTACTTGATTTTTAATACTTTGAATAAATGTTGTAGCTGATGGTAAAAAATGAGGGTTCTGAAAATCATTTGTTTTAATAATGCAGCCTTACACAAGTTATGTGAATTTGTAGACAACCATCTTTTGTCTGTAAATCAAAGTTACGCCTTGAAGGTATTCAAAATACAATGATGAATAGCATACATCTTAAAATCCATGATAGGATAGACAGTTTAGCTTAAGCTTATGTCTTTGAAATATGCAGCGGTTATAAAAGATTTCCTGAACACTTAAAGCCCATTCCATAGCATTGATCTTCTTCCAGCTTAAAAAGCTGCACTTCAAAAGTCCTGGTAAATTACACATTGGTGCTTTTAAAAAAGGGGTCCTGAATGAATGCAGTTTCTTTCAGTAGAGTCTGATTGTGAAGGCAAATTACTGTGCTTGCATTCGTACTGGGATTTCTCTCAGGCTTGTGTGGATCTAAGAGTTAACACAGCCTCCCTGATTCACCAGGACACATGCCTGCCTCTGCATGGAACACTCTTGTCTGATATACTTGATATGAAAACATCCAACTGCTAACTGTAGAGATAGTTGACTGCTTGACAGAGGGGTATTTTTGGACACTTTTGGTCTTGCCAGGTCTTTTAAATATCCTGCTATGTGACGGACACAGATAGGCCATGTATATTTGCTTCTGGGCATGCCCTTCCCTAGTTTGCGACACGTCTGTTTTTAAAAGCCCGTTTTGTGTTTTGCAGGCCAAAAGTTTGGAGTGGAAATGCAAGGAAAATCACGAAAAGGGCTTTGCTTTCCTGTTTGGAAACTTCAAAAAGTATTATCTTCCTCATATTTTCCCAAATTTTTCCAAGGAGACCAGTTTATACAATCCAGTACTTGGTAAGGGAAGCAGTAACATTCGTCTTACTTTCATATATGTTTATGTTAGTAGGTTACTTTATACCTACTATATATAGTATATATAGTAGTACACTATATATAGATATAGTGTGTGCTGTGAGCTTTTGTGCTAAGATTAATTCTGTTGCTTCAGAGATTGCCATTGGATTTTGAATTATTTAAAAAGTTTGGGTGTATTATAAATTGAGCAGAAAAAGAATCAGTAATAGATTTGTATTTATTGAGCACAGGTGCATATGTTTTCTACAAAGTATGCTGTACAGCATAGTTACACTTTACATTCTTGCCTGCAGAGGTGCCTCACATGAGACCAAAGCCACATTATGTGATAATAAAGAGAGACCCGGAGACCGGCGGAGACATCTATTGCACTAAAGAGATGTTCCTGAATGCTCGCGTCGTCTTCATTCGCTGGCTGGTGTCTTTCTGGCTGGAGCCCCGATCCAACACTGGGACTCATATCCCTGGGGTCGAAGGAGAAAACGTGCCAAAGAACATTCAGGTGAACCCGAGCTCCCTCATTCATTTCAGTCTGGGGTTACTTGCAGGACCTCTGAGGTGAAAAGCACAGACACACATGTTTAAGTCTGTAATAATATTTAATAACTGTGGGCTGGAAAAGTGCAGAGTAGAGAAGGTAATTGGTTCTTTCCACTTGGCATTATTAAACTTTTTAAAACGCTAACCAAGATGTATAAAAAAAAATGACAGGCAGATCTGGTCCTGCTGTTAAGAAGAAAGCCTTGTCTGAGCTGGGGGTGTCTGGGGGTGTTTCAGAGGGCAGCAGCTGGCCTGGCAGCCAGAGAGGACAGCGGCCCCAGGCCTGATGGTGTGGACAGCGGTGTGGAGACAGAGCAGTCTCACTCCAACACCAGCACGCTGACCGAGAGGGAGCCCAGCTCTTCTAGCCTCTGCAGTGTGGATGAAGAGCACCTCACGGACATCGAAGTGGTCAGGAAGGTCTTCTGCTCTTCCAGAACCAATGTCAACTTCATCACTGAGATCTTCCGGCAGGTATGAGCGAGAAGTAGCAGAGTGTCTTGCATTAAGGTGGCTAGCAGTACCTGGTTTATTTTGTAACGGTTTGGAACAGCCGATTGGGTAGCTGTTATTTTATTTGTCTCAGCTTATGAAGTGTTGAAGCTCATCCTTATGTGAAGTTCAGCTAGGGGACGGAAACAGCTCAGATAAACAATTAAAGGTTATAGTATACTGATTGGGTAAAATAAAATCCTACACAAGGACACCCACACCTAAACAGAATGTCTTCACATGAAGGACTGCTTACAAAAGTACAGCGCGTGTCTGTGAGTCCTGAACGTGTTTCATGTTTCCCCGAGGACAGGCTTTCCTGCTGCCCATGTGCGAGGCGGCAGCCATGAGGAAGGTGGTGAGGGTGTACCAGGAGTGGATCGCTCAGGAAGACAAGCCTGTGTTCATGAGGGACCCCGAGGAGCACTGCAGCTCCCCGGCCACCAGCGTCATCCACCTGGGCTCAGCCGGGGAGCCAGGGTCCGAAAAGGACCAGGAGGAGGTGAGGGCAGAACTCACTGCCAGTCGCGTCAGCGGTTGCCCCTCCTGGGACGGCAGCTACTATACACAGCGCATGGTTGTCAGACAAGATTGAAGTGAATGCCCTGCAGTCACTCCTTAACGCACCTTTTTGCCATAAAGGTTTTTCTTTATCAGGTTGCATACCCTCCTACAGAAAATAAGAAGGGTTTCTTCCTCACACCTCACAGCTGAAGAAGGCTCCACGGCCAAAACGTTGTGTTTTCTTTCTTCTCTGTTCAGCATGGAATAATCCTATTACTTGTTCCTTTGCAGCCTGCGCATGCTGACGCAGCTCCCCACCTGAACTACATAAGAAGGGTCTGACGTTAATTGCTTGGGTATTTTTTTTCTAGAAAATAACTTCGGAACAGCAGGCAGCTGAAAAAGAGGTGACTGGGATAGACGCCACAATTTTGTTAACTGTCAGAGTGGCAGAGGGTAGGCAGCCCACAAAGTAGCAGCCAGGGTGAAAGCTTACGTGTGCATAGGTGCTGCCGAGCAGGAAGGTGAAATGGAGTTGTCTGTGAATCGGCCGGTCAGCCCTGTAGTGAGCATGATCCCCCTTGTCCTGTGCAGGCTGCCGTGACAGGTTTTGTTTCCTTGTTCGTTTTAAGGAAAAGGTTGGAAAAGCCTCTGGCCATACTCGGACCCCCAGCTGGCCCAGAAACTCTTCCTACCAAGATGCCATTAACAAAATGGCAGACTGTGAGCTGCAAGAATACAATGTGTGCGCTGGAGTACAGTCCACATTACAGGTGTGGCATTTCAAATGGGTCTTTTTCTGTCCATTCTTTTTTAATGTTGCCTGTTGGTTTCATTTCTGACTGTGTCATATGGATTCAGTTTTCAGCATATTTAAATAGTAACCGAGGTTACAGGCGCTTTAATCCATAGGCTGCAGGATTTGCGTGATATTGATTGGTTTCACCTGAGCCGCAGGCTGAACAACACAAATAATTTTTATAGAGAGGTAGCGAGTCCGGACTTAATGAATTAGCATACTTCATTAGCAAAGAGCTCTGGCTTATGCAACTTCTTAATAAATAAGTGACAGCTACTTCAGTTTATAAGTAATCGGGTTCAAAAGAAGAAAATGCGAACGGTCTTATTTTCGTTTTTCTTTAGTCTCAGTAGAAACTGAGACTAAAGAAAAATTGGGTTGTACTTTTTTGCTCAGAATAAACCTGAATAAGTCATTGTGAAGCACCAAATAATATTTTCTTAAATATTCACTGATCCCTGGTTATAGGCTAAGCCTGCATTTAACTGAACTGACTGTTGGAATTGCTGTTAAATGTGAGATTTATTTCAAATATAGATAAGCTCTTAACTTTATTTCTCTCTGTTTTAGGTTTTTATAACCAATTCCTCCAACGTTTTCCTCCTTGAACCAGCTAACGATGTAAAATTCTTATTGGAAGAGCATATCGATATGTGTAAACGTGTCCTCAATATTTATCGCAGTCTGGTCATGCATGAGACAATGGATCAGAAGACGTGGTACGTGACAAAGCAAACAAAAAAAAAATGTACAAGCATGGTCAACATGACTGTGATGCTGAAGTCACTGGAATAGATATACACTTCACACACAGTACTTACACAGAAACAAAAGCTTTACTCTCCTGAATATGGATTCCCCTGTTCGTATCGTGAGGAACTTTCTGTAGCAGCTGGGCGAACAGAGGTTGGGAAAAGGATAGCACATTTCATTGGCTGACAAACACAAACGGATAAAGATGTATGCTTTTGTAGTTGTAAGCACACATTTGCAACTAGGGCATCACATCTGTGTGTGTATTTTTCGGATGATAGCTACTGGCCAGTGCAAAGTGTTGGCTATGTGTTGGCACTTTGCGCCTTCTCTCTGTTGCTCCATGCTGTGTTTGTATTCTTGACTGCATTAATGCTACAGTGTCTCTACTGCTAAGGGCCTGTGTTTTGTCTTGTGTGCTGTCATTGCTTTGTTTATTTGGATGAGCTGAGCTCTAGCTTTATAAGAGTGAGCTAGTCTCACTCTTTTTTTGATGTCACATACCCGCATACTGTAAATAAAGCCTTATGATTGTGTATTCTTGCCACCGTTCTGCCACAACTCTGGAGTTCAAGTTGATATTTTCATACAGTATGTACCGCTACCTCCCTACCAAATATTTTCTGCTGGCACTGATATAAATCTCAAAAAACAAGTTTTTAAAGATCAGTTTTTGGTGAAATTTTTCACAAGTCACTCCAAATGAAACTAGGTTATTGGAAAAGTGTTGTAAACGTAAACAAGTTTAAAATTATGTTATACTGTACTGTTATCTTTCTCTGAATTGTCAACATAGCACAAATGAAGGTTTGGGTGTAATTGATGATATAGGCATATCCGATTTCCTCCCACACTCCCAAAACATACTGCTAGGCTAGTTAGCTTCTGGGAAGATTGTCCCTAAGTGTGTGTGTGTGTGTGTGTGCGCGCCCTGCAATGGACTGGTGTCCCATCCAGGGTGTATCCTGCCTTGCACCCATGGCTTGCTGGGATGGGCTCCGGCTCTTCCTGCGGCACTGGTTAGAAAATGGATAGATAATGATGCAGGCAAGCATGTAGCTAGGCCCTCACCACATGTGGCTCATCCAGGTCCCTCCAGAACAGCCAGCTGCCTGGTCTTTCAGTGGAGTGTTTCTGCAAGTGAGGCTAGCAGCATGTTTGCTGTGTAAAGTTTTGGCTAGCGCTATCTACTGTACTGTGTACGATGGCATAATGTTTTCCCTCAGGTGTGAAGTCTTACTTTCTTTTGGGTCTCAGGGAGCAGATACTCTTGGTGCTACTCAGGGTGACGGAGTGTGTGATGAAAAGGCCACCTTCAGCTGTGCCACATGGGAAGAAATGCATGACACTCTCTGGAAGGTTGGCTGGGGCAATATTTCAGGTAGAATAAACACAAGTCTTCCACAATTATTATAGTTATATAACAATAATGGTTAGCAACTTCCTAGTGGCAAAAACGTTGCTGGTCTCTGACTTAACCCATCTTCCCTGTGCTGCAGACCTTAATAGTGGCATGGATCAAAGGGAACCTGAATGTGTACATCTCTCGGGAGCTGTGGGATGACCTGCTGGCAGTGCTGTCCTCACTGACCTGCTGGGAGGAGCTGGTCACAGAATGGTCCCTCACCATGGAGACTCTAACGAAGGTACTGGCCAGAAACCTCTACAGCCTGGACCTTAATGACCTGCCCCTGGAAAAGCTGAGCGAGCAGAAGCTGAAGAAACACAAGGGCAAAGGTAGGAAAGATGGCCAGGCTTCTTTATCTTAGCAGATATCTTTTGTCCTAAATCATGGAACGTGAAAACCTAGCACAAGTTTTCACGATTCTCACATGTTCTGTACATACTTCTCACTGGGGGCTAATAAAATAGGAAGAGCTTTAGGGACTTTCTTAAATAGCTTCGGTCCAATGTTGTTCACTTTGCGCGCGTTGTATGTTTGATTGGATATGTTTGGCCTGTAGCTTGTGCCACAGCCGTGCAGTCGCATGGTTGATGGAGGAGAAATCGACCTGGGTTTGGGGTGCCGTCCGTCTCGTGGGCATGGCAGAGATCCTGCAGGAATCATCAGTGTTGTGTCTCTTTGTGCGCTAATCCCAAGGTGGAGCTCACGAGTCCCAGAAGTTGTCTGTGGACAGGTCCTTCTCCAAAGGCTGGAGCAGGGACCAGCCTGGACAGGCCCCCATGAGACAGCGCAGTGCCACTACTGCTGGCTCTCCGGGGATTGAGAAAGCCAGGAGTATTGTTCGCCAGAAAACTGTTGGTGGGTATACCTACACATCGCTCTCCAACATCACGCGCTTTTCTCACTGTAAATACTTGAGCTGCTACATTTGAAGCAAGCAGAATTATCATCTAGGAAAAAACACACACTTCTTATTTTTATAAAGATTTTAAACTTCAGTTGTGTACATCTCACAGATTTGGCATATTATTTGTACACTTCTTAAATGGGATTAAAAGCTGAAAACTTTCAATCCTGTGCTGTTGAACTAATAGTGCACAATATATTCAGTGTGATTGGGATCTGTGCGTGACATTTTTATTCTCTTGTTTTGCACTGTAGTTTGTATATTCTTGCAGCATATATTCCAGCAACTTGTTTTGGTAACGGCAAGATAAAAAACACATTACGCTAGTTTTTCTTGCTTGTTTTTTCAGAATGAAAAATAATATTTTATGTATGCTATATATATAGTTTTTATTATGTAGGGAGTGCACTATGCAGAATTTGAAGACGTAGTTCTTAATGCCTAAAAATTGCTCCATTCTACAATCCCTTTGACGAAGATGAGTTTCTCTTTTGCCCCTTGCTGTGCTGCCATCAGTCACTGCCAGCATGGGCAGATCAAGATTCGAGCTCTGCCATACAGCTTTCCCCCTCTTTCTTTGCTCCTTTATTCCTCACAGCTTTGCCTCGCTGTCACTATCTTTCTTTTCTTCCTTCCCTTTCTATACCTTCTGTTTTTCTTTTGTTTTACTTGAAGCCCTGCGAAGTCGGTCAACTGGCGACAGCATCCTGTCTTCAGCCTTTATACGCAGCGCTAAAAGTGCACCTGTCCTGATTCATCCTGTCCACCCTCTCCTGCCTGACTCTGTGCTCTCTCCCCTAGCTGACGAGCTGTCAGGTAGAGCTGTCTCTGCTTGTTTCTGCACCCCTTTCTCACTGCAACTCCACTCTTGTCCTTTAGTTGCTGGGTTATATCTATTTTTTTGTATGTTGCTTCTTCGATATTTTGAAGTGAAGTACAGCACAGTCATTGTTTTCTGTGTCCCCCCGTGCTTTTGTTGTGTTTTGAAGCTAATGTGCCATCATGTCAGCACTGGTCCTCTGCCGGTGTCCTCTGTGTTTATCTCGGGACGCCAAGCTCGGGGGCTGCCCACGGCAGATTTGGTCAGAACACCAGAGCTAACCCATGAAAAGGCGTATTACACTATATCAGTTTGTGATTTAACTTTCTTTTGCGGCTACTTTCCCTCTGACATTGATGGTGTCCTGTGTTGTGTTTGTAAGTCAGCAGCATGATTGGAAGAAATCTGCATACCTATCCTCTGCTCTTTCTGCTGCTTGGCACTTATAAACTAATCTCTACATCCTCATTGACTTTTTTTTCTAAATAAGATCCTAGTGAAGGTTTAGTGATCAAGGCGTTGGCATCTATTATCTTAACCACCTTGCTTGCTAATTTTTCCCTGACTTTTGCTCCCAGGAAAATTCCACAGCCAGAATATTCTGCAGTATTACTTGTCTCCTACAGAATCAGTTAATATCTAAGGGAAATTGTTTTATAGTGGAAAGATCAGTGTATTACTAGAATATTACTGGTGTAGAATACCTAACTGATTTTGTGGGTGACAGGTGTTTCTGCAGAGTATTGTGTCCACATTTTTGTTTGTACACTCCACCTGATAACAAATTTGTTTTCTAGATCACAGACTAAATGTAAAACCTTTTCTGTCCAATTAATCTTAGCTGTTCGTTTTCTGATATGTGTGTGTATGTGTTAGCTGGACGTTGTGTTTCAAACTGCATGTTTATAAGTAAGGCTCGTCTGATTGTTAGACTCCCTTTCACTGCTTTTATTGTGCTCCTTAGTAACTGTAAAGTAGGCCTTTCTGAAGCATGTTCTAGTTAATGTGTTGAACACATCACATCTGCTGTACATGTCACAAACTCTTGCCGTACTGACCCTGAGGAATGACGTGCTTGTGTTGGATAGTGTCACGTGTGTGCCGTCACAGGTTGGCCACTGAGTGGTTTCCCCTACACTAACATGCGGCTGTTTCTGCTCAGATATGGAGGACCCCCCGGTGGTTTCCCGTGCTCCGCGGATGCGGCACTTCTCCCAGAGCGAAGAGACGCCCCCCTCGGAGGTGTTTGTGGCGTCCGGGGAAGAGCAGCCCTTGCCCAGGAGCAGCAGCACGTCAGACATCATGGAGCCCTTCATCGCAGAGCGGGTCAAAGGTGACGGTCCATCTCACAGTGCTCCTGGCTCGCAGAGTCCCCCAGAGGTCATCCCATGGTCTAGATCCACTGCGGGCCACCCGATGGGTGCCGGCAGCAGGGTGTCCTCACTGGAAGTGGGGGATAGCATTTACGACCACCTGTGCCAGCTGGTAGGGCCTTCCGAACAGCCCCCGCCAGCCTTCCTGCCCAGCCAGTCTGTAGAGAGCGAGAGGGAGGAGGACTTGCTGTCATCTCTTAGGGAGTACCTGAAGCACAAGGGGGAAGGGGTCGGGACAGCTGAGGGAGAAAGCTGCGCCATTCTCGATGCTCTGAGCGAGGCGATGGAAGGCCAGGCTGCTCAGGCACTGATAGACAGGTGGCAGTATGACGACAGGACTCGCGTGTGCCATGAAGGAAGCGCTGGCTCTGCCGCAGACGAGGACACCGTAGGGCGTTCAGAGCAGGACCTGGTCGAGGGTCTAGAGTGCAGCAGTAAGGCAGATCAGTCAGGCTGGCAGACAAAAGAACTCTTTATCCAGGAGGATGGCCTGGACACGAGGGGTAGCCCCTGCCATGCAGAGAGGACCAATCACTTGCTTAGACAGGATGCCCTGGAGCTGGATGTGGGCTCTGAGGTGGCCCCAGTAGGGAGAGGTAGGGGGGAGTCCGGCGCCAGCCCCAAGGAGAACCCGTCACAGGAGCACTGCTCACAGACCCCCCGAGCTCTGAGCACCACGGCGGTCAGCAGGCAAACCTCCTCCACCGCAGCCTTCAAGCCCAGGCTCGTCCGAGGAGGAGGAGGAGGAGGAAAGAAGCGGCACAGCGGGGTTCATGTCAGCTTCCGGCCCTCCACTGAGTCCGTTCAGTTCCACAACCCTTTAGAGACCAAGGAAGCCCCCTGGAAAGCCAGGCTCCGGCGGCTCAGCGGCTTCAGTGGAGGGAGCAGCAGTGGGACCCCGACTGGGGCAGCCGATCCCGCCAGGCCCGGCGCCCCCAAGTCCGGCGCCGCGGGATCTGCGAGCAGTGGCAGGGCAAAGGAGGCGGTAGGGGAGGCCCAGGTGGGGGAGCAGGTGGACAAGGACGGACCGGCCGGCGGCTGGGAGAGTGGGCACCCGGTCAGGTCCAGGTCGCAGGAGTCAGGCCATCACGCGCAGCAGGGGTCCCTGGGTGGTGTCTATAAATCTGTCGTACATGCTCTCTCCAAGCCGAAGGCACACGTCTCCCCACAGCGGCAGAGCAAAGTGCCAGCCGAGGCGCCACTGAGGGATCTGTACACTCATGTAATGGGCTATTTTGGAAGGAAAGCAACAGGTGAGCACTGAACGGTGTGCTGAGCATAAATCGAAGACAAAGCGCCTGTTCCTTTTTTTTATTACTTTCGTTTCATTTTTGCTGGATGCAGATTTTTTTGAAAAAGCTTCCCCCACCCCGAGTTTGAAGCGCAATCAAAAAAAAAAAAAATAAAGTCAAAGAAACCCCAGGAAGCCCTCCAGCTTTGTGGGATATAATCCTTGCTTTCCCTTCTGTTTGGATGCTGCATGCAGCCTTTGATCAGCTCACATCTCCTTCCTCGCCTTCTCTCACCCCCAGTCCAAATCATTGTATCATAAAAGCCCACAGCATCGTACTGCTGACAGCTGTGCACCCAGTCACCGCTTATAGAACAGGTGAAGGGCATTGTTAGACTTTAAATCAGGCCAGTCTGAAGCAGCGTGATAGCAAAGATGTCCAAGTCAGTCATCTTTCCTAAGTAAGTTGACTGCTCAGGGGTTCATTGGAGGTTGAGCTTATAACTGGTACTACCCAATAGGTATTGTAATCATTCTGTATGTTTGCCACAGTCTTCAGAAGTTTAAGCACTGTAGATGAAGCTGAGAAGTGTATTGTGAACATTTTCATCGGTTGCATATCCTGTGTTGTGTTTGCACTTAAGTACCTGTCTCTTTCTACAGTGTTATACTCTTGTCTAACTTAAATTAAACTAATCAGCACAATACTTTCAATTATAACTATTACCTGTTGCCACAAAAAAAGGATACATTTAAAACTTTGGGAAAATGACCTAGGTATGCTTTATATTCCCAAAGTTTGTTTTCCCCTGTTTTGTTATGTAGTACCAGTAGAGGGCAGTGTTTGCTATTATACTGTACAGTACTTTCTTGAACCAGCAGAAGGTTGTATTTGCTATTATACAGGAGATTGTTGAACAAGTAGTCGGCTGTATTTGCGATCATAGTTTAGCGTGGGGGGAAAACTAAAGCCTTCATTTAAGCTGACGCAGAACATTGATCGTGTATATATTCCAGAATTTTATTATGGAAAATGAATAAATACAGAAAGTGTGTTTTTAAGAACCAACGTTTCTAACATATTTTCTGCTACTCTTTTAGGTCTATCATGAGAGACCAGTGATCAATATGATGCGCAGTGGTTTATTCACTCCATGAGTGAAGTCATATTTGAACCGGTTTTGAGAATTAAAAGGCCAATTGTGTCTTTTTGGGGAGAAAAAAAGGTTGGAAACAACTTTTTGGCTAGTTTGAGAATTATCATTATAGCTTTCCGAAGGCCACAGTGGGAGGTAGATGTAACACAGAATGTTCTGTCCTCTGACACACAAAATGCTTCTGCAGTAGTTGAACTAAGATGAAATATCTGAACACTGGCTGTGTTGGAGGAGAAGGTGGAAATAGCTCTGAGATTGTGAGTCTGTGTGCTTCTCTTCTCATAGTATAAACAAGGAGAATGTATTCAGGCTGTACAACTTTAACACTTGCTTTGGAATAGATTTCTATTTTCTCCGTGATCTCTTAACATCGCTCACATTCCTTCTACTGTGCAGTGTACAAGTTTACTAATTCTAACTCTTACTCTCTTCTTGCCCTGGAGAAAGCCAGGTATTTTGTCTTTTTGGGACTGCATGTCTTGTGAGTAGCTCCTGCATTGCTTTCTGATTATAATGAGTTGGATGTCGCCTTTTTATACATTTTACATGTGTTTTAGTGACCGGTTTTTCTACATAATAGTCTCCTGATAATTTCACTACACCACTAGTTTCAGCAGACTTCCACTGTGTCTGACTGGTAGGGGCAGATTTATTCAAGTAGTGAGAATCTGATTAAACAGTTGGAAGGTAGTTCTTTAGCAAAAAGCCATGGTTTTCTTAATTTCTCTATAAAGCAGTGTTTTTATTTTTTCCTAGGCTCTGTGATAATCTGTGTTAGGAGATGTGACTACAAAGTTTATTTAAGTATTTATAAATCAGTCTGTATAATTTAGCTGTGAAGGCATAAGTAAAAGCATTTTTCTGAAGAGCCAAAAGTAACAAAAAGATACTGGCTTGAATCAGGTAGATAAGTTAACATATGCATAATTTATATGTAATTGTCTGTCTGTATATAAATGTCTTTGAAATGAAAAAAGGTGGTCACATTAAACACCTTGTCTTCAGTGTCCAGGTCAGTTTCATCTAAGATTATGCTGTATATTTTGCCACCCAATCAACAGCCTTCAACTGTTATTTTATGGAACATAGGTCTTTGCTGAGGTGTGGAAGTCTGCTGGAACAAAGCTGAAGCCTCAAGGTAGCAGCCCAGCCCAACAGGAATTCTGTTCATCCATGAGGGAATTCCAGAGCAGGGCAGAGAGAGTTAGTGTCCAGTGGTGTACACCAGTTAGGACAGATGGCTGATGAATGACCTCGGTAGCAAACCTTTCCTTCTCTGCGACAGACCCGTAACGCTCTGTTAATTCTTTATGTGACTTTAGCCAATAAAGAGGACCTGAGCCAAAAGATCCGCCCGATTTCTACTGACGTTGGTAACAGCAACCCCAACATCAGCGACCTGATGGATGAGTTCATTCAAGAGAGGCTGCGAGCCAGAAGCACATCTGTGAGTGGTTGTCTCTCGTTCTGTCTGTTTTTATTGCTACTAGTAAATGTTAGTGCTGCCGAATGAGCATATCTGGATTTTTTTCTTTATTGTTTCGGAGATTCTTCACCATTCGGAGAGGTAATATGTGGGATAAATTCTTCGCACAGTGCTTTATCGTGTAATTGTGGAGGTGAAAGAATTACACAAAAAGTATTCTGAGGGAGCAAAGAGACTCATGGCCTCTCTTTTAAAGGAATTAAATTAAAGGAAGACAATGTCCACTTCGTCAGTAAAGTACATTCTTTCGATTACTGTTCTTACTGCTGCGTTATGACTGTGCTCTGTGTTTCTGTCATACTCCTAACCAGGTTGCTGAATTTCAGCACAGAACTGCCTGTGGGAGAGGGTAAAGATTGCTCCCTACGTTATGTTTAAAGGTTTATTTTTTGTGTTTTTCAAGTTTGCTGTATTTGTGTTCGCCAGGTATAGTAACTCAGTTCACAACAATCTCCAAGGTGCATGGGGGCTGGACTGCAGGGTGCTGTCTGAAATTTAGGTTTTCACATATTTGAGCATCGTACCCTCTGAAATGGGTTTGGAGATGGCAAGGCTACCAGAGTACACCTTTCTAGTACCTGTTCACCCTCCATGTGAGAAGTTCCCACAGGACCTGGAATATCTGTCATCTCATGAGTGCGACTAATCAGGGTGCAGTGTACAGTGTACAGTGGAACAGGATAGTTATTTCTGTGATTAAAAAGAAATGTAAAGTGTATCAACAACAGTTGAAAATAGCTACATACGGTCTGTATTTTTTTTATTTTTCACAATATTGGTATTTCAGCTCCAATTGTGAACTTTACATCAATTTGTGCAATTAAGAAGTGACTTAACACATGCCAACTCGTATATGGTGAGCCTGGTGTCTGGAGAGGTATTTGCTACTAAGGCAAAGTTCTGCTTTGGTCGCGGGTGATGCGTTGTGTCCATTCCACCCTCATCCCTGCCGAAAGGATTGGTAACGGGAGATGTGGGCGGGAGTGTGGGAGTGTATCTGAGGTGGAGCAGCGGTGTGAAAAGGGCTGTGTGGGAAATTAAGATGCCACTTCCACCCTCTGACCCCTGCAGTAACAGGACTTGGACGTCGCCGCCATTTGGAAGAAACGGGTGCTGCTCTGGTTTGCCGTTGATAATGCTCTCCAAGTCAGAAACTCATGAGCTGTGTGTGAGGGGGGTTCACAGCTTTCTTCTTTAATGTTTGCCCACTTCCCTGCCAGAAAACATGGAAACAGTTCAGTTAACGATTTTATTTTCAGTGCACTAAGCGCTACTCAAGTTGTACTTGGTGTCCTGTCTTGCAAGGCTGGCGAACCTGAGCGCAGGCCTGTCTGCGGTTGTTAGTTACGAGCAGTTAGTAGACCAAGCCAGTGCTCAGTTTAGGCCTCTGTGTGGTCCCGAAAGACTGATGGCAGGGTTGTCCTTGGTTGTCCCAGGGTGTCACAAGGAGAGGCAGCAGCCCTGGAAGCCTTGAGGTTCCCAAGGACTTTCCGGACCTCCTGAACCGCCAGAATCCCATGCGCCCTATCGACGACCCCGGCGTGCCCTCGGAGTGGACCTCCCCCGCCAGCGCCGGCAGCAGTGACCTCATCAGCTCCGACAGCCACTCCGACTCCTTCAACGCCTTCCAGTGCGACAGCCGCAAGTTTGACAGTAAGGCCGATTGCGGGAGGCGCCACACGTTCCAGCACACTCGCGGGCTGCAGTCCCCACTTGTGCCAGGCTGCTGCATGAGTACTTTACTGCAAGCGTCGAGTCACAGAGACGGCATCACTGCTTTTAGTGACTTGGTAAAAGGCGCAGTGCCCACTGGGCCACAGCTTGGGGTCAGAGCTTTAAAAAGTTCCTGAAATCTGTAACCTGGGCCAATAAAGCAGTCGTTTCTTTAAAAAAAAAAATTAAAAACTTTTTTTCCCCCCGGAACAAGTTCGAGTCTTACTTTAAAAATCCAGTCTTCTAGCCCTGGCTTGCTAACTACAGTGTTATCGAATTGACCACAAACCACAAATCTTTTTTCTATGCTGAAACTAACAAACGACATTTGAGCGTGTTGGTTAATCCTCAGGTCAGATCTGAGGATTGGGAGGATTGTTTGCTGTTGGATTTTAATTGCGATTCTGGTGTGCAGACTTCAGTTTGGGACCTGATGTTTCTGCTGCGGGGTCTCTGGAGCATGATGGATTACAGCTGCGACACCAGACGGCAGAGGAGCAGGAGCTGGCCAGCCTGACCACCCTGCACATCGATTCGGAGACCAGCAGCCTGAGCCAGCAGCCCCTGTCAGCAGACACAGTCACTATCACTGGTGAGTGGCTGGCCTTGGCCTAGGACTCGCATCATTCCTGTGGGCCTGGCTGTTTTTCATGCTGTACAAAAGCATATGAAATTTAAGCGTGTTGTACCTGGGAGAGGTGGGCGGGCATCTCCAAAATAGATATTTACTTATTTTTTATTTCTAATTGTAAGTTATATCCGTTACTAGACTTTAAAAAAGACCTGAGTACAGCCTGTTTCACATTTGTTAAATTGTAATGTTTCTCACCTCTTTAGTCTGCCATTGATTATCCAGGCTTGATGTATTCTTGCCACCAGTGTGTTAAGGCGCTCAGTGTCTTGCTTGCTTGCTGGGTGTGGTTCCCCCAGGGTCTGAAAGTGCCTCCCCACTGCACTCCCCCACTGGCTCCCGGTCCCAGACACCCTCCCCTGCCACGCTCAACGCCGACCACATGGAGCACAAGGACCTGCAGCTGGACGAGAAGCTCCACCACTCCGTCCTGCAGACTCCCGATGACCTAGGTATCCTTCAGACTAACGGGCAGAGCTCTGATTCAGCCAAGACAGCTAAAAAAAGAGATAAGTGATATGTTTATTCCTTGCTGAAAAGAGAAGAAAGAAAACGCAACATTTTGGCTGTGGAACCTTCTTTGGGTGTGAGGCTCCGCAACGTTTTGGCTGTGGAGCCTCACACTCAAAGAAGGTTCCACAGCCAAAACGTTGCGTTTTCTTTCTTCTCTTTTCAGCATGGAATAAACTTATTACTTGTCCCTTTGCAGCCTACACATGCTGATGCAGCTACCCACCTGAACTACTAAACAAAGAGATACTGTATATACGCAGAAAATTCATTATTAAGTTGCTGGGGATGAGTTATTCTTGTCACTCGTTGCTGTTGCTGAAATATTGATGCATTTTCCAAAAGTTTTTCAAACCAGATGCTCATTAACCATTTTATATCAGTACTGTCCTACTGAAAATAAATTATCTTAAAAGAAGAGCTGGGAAGCATTTGAAGGTTTTCTGCTCTTTCAGAAGAGGATTTCTGCATTTTTGTCGAAACAGTAGAGATCTGTAATTTAGTCAAGTTTTAAATCGCAACTCTGATGTAATAATCTTTCCTTCTCCCTCTGCTCCTAGAAACCAGCGAGTTCCCAACAGAGGACTGCAGTGTGATGGCAGGAGGGAGTTTGACTGGCTGGCACGCCGATGTTGCCACGGTGATGTGGAGGCGAATGCTGGGAATTCTGGGGGATGTCAATTCCATCAAGGATCCTGAAATCCATGCTCAGGTCTTTGACTACCTCTGTGAGCTGTGGCAGAACCTGGCCAAGGTAACTGCCTGTGTGTGACCTAGCCTTTCACCTTGCTCCATGACAGACATTGCCGTCGAGCCGGTAATTGCTTCTGTTTGTGCTCCTTTGTGTTGAAAACTATAGATCCGAGACAATCTGGGTATATCACTAGACAACCAGACATCGCCGCCTCCTCCTGTCCTCATACCCCCGCTGCGCATCCTGACTCCTTGGCTGTTTAAAGTAAGTGCCACTGTTCTGCCTCGTCACGACTGTGTGAGTACTCTTGTGCAGCGGATAACCTTCTGAAATGGAAGTGAATGGGTCTTTCTGGTGGCCATTCGAAAACATTTGGTCTGAGTGAAGGTTTTTTTTAGGACCAGCCTTTGTCATTTTTCTCAGCCTGGAAAATGTAATTGAGCACCAATCGGACGAATTTGAAGTCTGATGTTGTACCTCGGAGGAAGTTGCTTCCTGTTCATCGGCTGACAAGTCAGTCTGCGGTCCTGTTGAGATTAGTAAGAGTTACTGATACCAAGTTCCCCCTGTAGTCGTCCCCACAAATAAGTTATTGAAAGTTCGTCCCCACAAATAAGTTATTGAAAGCATGGGGTTAAAAGCTGATTTGAGGAATGATTGCGCTGTGTTGTTTTGGTATTGAGATAACCTTTGTGCCTAACGCTGTGACCCCTAGGCTACAATGCTGACGGAGAGGTACAAGCAAGGGAAGCTTCATGCCTACAAGCTGATTTGTAAAATCATGAAAAGGCGACAGGATGTGTCGCCTAACTGTGATTTCCTGACACACTTCTACAACATCATGCACTGCGGGCTGCTGCACGTCGACCAGGTGATGTTCGCATATTTAAAATGTTAAATTTCAGGGGCTTCTGTGCAGAGATGTTTGTTTTGGAAAAATTTTGATTGTTCAGTGAGCACTCCTCACACATCCGTGGTACACCTGTGGAGGTGGTTTTGGTGGAAGGCGTGTATGTTGCGCTTCCATTAAAAGCACATGGCTGAAGCACAGAAAAACACATTTCTGTGGTTCAGCCTTGATGTTCTTTTTCTGTGGGAGTGATTTTTGCCTTTTTTCCTTTAGGACATTGTGAACACCATCATCAAGCATTGCTCTCCTCGCTTCTTTTCTATTGGCTTGCCTGGAGCTACCATGCTGATACTGGATTTCATCGTTGCAGCAAGCAGAGTGACCACCTCATCCTCTTTGAATGTAAGAGCCAGAGCAGCCCCGTGCAGTGTTTTCCACCATTCTGATCTCTTGCACACGGCAGTTTCCATTAAAATCACATCTGAAATCCGCACCTTGAAGTTGTCGAACGATGTGAAATAATCTAGAAAATGTGCTGATCTAGAAGTAGGGATAGTAGAAATGGGTCCCCCTGGTATTTACCCCCCTTGATTTATTTAATGTAATGAATATCAAAACAAAATATGTTTCAATATTGTGAGCTGCGCCAGCATGCAGGCTGCCAAGGAACAAGTGTACTGTAGGTTTAGCACACGGTGGAAAATAGAAGGAAAAAACAGCATTGTGGCTGTTGAGCCCTCTTTAGGTGCTGACAGGATCGAAGGCTGAAATATTACTTCTACACCGAAAAGTAAAAAGAAAAAAAAACTCTACCTGTACCTTAAAACAGAATATTATGTCTTGCTGACTGGACGCTTTCAGCCTAATAGTAGGCAGCATGAGAGAGCCGCTGCAGCCTCTGTCCTGCTGCTGGTTCTGTGAATGGTAGAGACAGATGTCTTTCCTTCAGGCTCCCCGACTGGAAGCCCAGATCCTCCTGGGCTCGCTGGTCTGCTTGCCCAACTTGTACGAGGAGCTGCCAGCTCTTCACCCAACCACGGCGGATGTGGTGATGACCAAGTTCAGAGACGTCAAGGTGAGGCTGAGAAAACTGGCCTTCGTGAAGACTGACTCGGGTAATTTGTGTGACCTTTGAGCGCGGTTCCCTGTTAATCCTGTTCCTTGAAAGGCATGGGGTTGTTTTTATGAAGTTAGTTTTTTTCCCCGCTCCATGTTTAACCAGCTGCTTAGGTGGCAGTGTCCAGATGTAACGACGATATATTTTTGTGAAATGCATCTCAAAATAATTCTTAGTATAAATACCAGAAATGGGTCAAAGATCTGTTAGTCCTTTTGGAATTTTTAAGCACTGCTGTTGAATGTGGTTTTTCCACTTCCCTGTTAAAGCTGTGAGTGAGCTCTGAAATGTTATCACTATTAATGGATTATCAGGCATTCTGGCCTCGGCACTAAAAAGGAAATCGCTGCTGTTGTTAAGAAGAAACTAATGCCATGCATGAGAGTGTTTTCTGTTTTAAAGGAGAAATTTACTTTGAGGCATTTCATAACAAACACATTGCTGTGCATGATAAGAAGCAATTTAGTGCTTCCAGAGGGAATTTTAAATTGGTTTCCTCTCCTTTGTCCAGCATTGTCCATATATTGACTAAATGAAGACTGAAAACACAATTTTTAAAATAAAAAATATTAACACTTTCATGCCAAAAGCATTTATTCTGCCATTTTGTACAGCATTCTATTGAAAACACTTTTAACATGGAGCACACCCAGCGTGACCTTGATAACGCATAACTGGAAGTTGACCAATGTTTTATCCTGATATTTGGATTTTTGTGGAGTGTTCAACCAGAAGTGGGCTGATGATTAGTCAATATCTGTTTTAATAAAGTACCACCACAATTCTTATCTTCACGCATCAACTTTTAAACAAATTATTGTATTCCCTCTGAATTGGTGGGAAATGTGTCTTTTAGAGATCATATCAGTCCAATTGTCCTATTGTGTCGGCTTTTAATATATCTGAGTTGGGCCAGATAAATCAATATTGGCCAGTCTGTAGTACAAACCAAATATTGTCAGAATGTGAAAATGAATGTGGGAACAATTTAACCTGGTTGTAAAAATGATGAAAGGAGAGGAGGAATATAAGCTCAACAGCCAAAGTTTTCCTAAATAAAGCCATAGGACATTCGTATTTCTGAAACAGTAGGATTGTTCTTTTCTTCTCATAGTGGCATAGAGAATGCATCTGATTTTAGTCTTGGGCACTTGTTGTGTTTATCGTATGTGTTGGATGTGTTTATGGAAGGCGCAGTACATTGAGATTTCCAGCTGTCGGTCTCCACATGGCCGTCAGGCTTTGTGTTATCATTTGGATGGTGTTCATGACCTTGTGAGCAAAAACGTCTTTTGTTTTCTGGAAAAAAAACTGTGTTTATGGCATGTACATAATGGGTTATTGTGTAGGAAACGTCCCCATGGATTGTGTTGAGGAATGACAAATCAATTTAAAAAACAAAAGCTAATTGGTTCTCTTGTGTGTCTCAGATGACAACACTGGCTGTAGTCCCCATCATTCGGAAACAGCTGACTCAGCTTGTAGTGTTCGCTGAGGGAAAGCTCACCCCTCTGTTACAGCTCTCTAACTGCACAGGCACCTGGGACGGTCAGAGAGAAACTCTCCGGGTGACCTCTGTCCTGGGCTTTGTCAGTCAGTCTATTACACCTATTAGCTACTGGCTAGTCTGGGCGACAGTCATCAGTCACCAGTCCTTCTCACTCACAAAGGTGAAGTGTTTGGGTGATGTTGTCACTGGTGTGTATCCAGCATGCACAGGACCTTGCTTGACCGAAAGCAATTTGTTTCTCCCTCCCTCGGCTTTGTTACGATTGTTAGATGTGTTTTCCTGTTCTGGTCCTTGGATTTTTGTATGAATTGAGTGTTGTAATATTTGACCTGTTCATGTTTTCTTTCTTCACTGACTTTAAGGAGCACATCATTAAACACATACTCAGCTCAGCCCGGGAAGAGCCATCTGCCCCAGCAAGGTACAGTGTATTGTTTGACTTTATTATGTTTATTATTTAAGGGTTATAACATGAACTTTCCTTTCTGATATATTTGTTGTCATAATTTGTGTGCTTGGAGTTTTCCTGGGAGGGAATGGGTTGTCTGCACATCATGGTTCACAGCAGATCAATGTTTAGTCATGTGTCTGGTCATCCAGACGGATTAGTAAAGTGTCATTTTAAGTAATCCACTGCCAATCCGGAGCAAAGGCGTTCAGAAGATTATGGGATTAAACGTTCTGTCTTTTGTTTACAGATTAGTGAAAAGGTGCTAGTTTTGGCAGCAGCACCACAGTGGAAAACACTAGCCATGTAAGGACAGTCTAATCAGGGTTTGTGTGTTTTGATGACATTTAGCATAGGCTTTTATTACTCTAACCTCGTCAACTGGCCCTGGAGGTCAGCAAGTGGGATTCTGTAAGCGATAAAAGAGATCTGATCCTAGATGGACATTTTTTGTGAGAGCTCTGATAGCGTGTCTCATTCTTTCGCTTACCTTCCTCTTAATTACATATTGGGCCTTTCAGCTTCTGTCCGCCAAAATGTTTCTACAGGTTATGAAATCATCTCAAGTCAATCAGGGGGAGAGTTAGTTACAGATTCTGTGTACTTTATAAAAAAATCTACTTTACAAAATACTCCTCATGTGTGCCAGCTATCTGACTTGAATTTGCCAATGTATGTAGTGGCTCTCAGGAGAGGAACACGTCAACAGACAGGCAGGGAAGGCTGACATGACTGGCTATCAATTATCTTTGTCTCTGTTTCTACACTGTTTTCTGAAAATCACATACTAACCCTGTTTTTTTGTTATTAGAACAGACATGCCACCAAGTAATTTTTCATGTACTGGCTATTTTTGCTATTTTGCTTTTTTATGTTGAGATAAATAAGTTAAGTTATCCGGAAAGAAGCTTTATGCGTTTTTAAGCAGTGCTGCTGACTGTCTTCAGTGCCAGTGAATCTTGTCTCATCCCCATCTCGTATCACGAGCTGCGTCTGTTTTCCAGGTGCGTTGCTCTTTGCAGCTTGGGCATTTGGCTGTGTGAAGAGCTGATGCACAACACACGCCACCCTCAAATCAAAGAGGCTTTGAATGTCATCTGTGTCACGTTGAAGGTATCGGCATTTACACTTCGTCTGGGAAAGCCCCCTGATGGACAGGGTTCACAAAGACATGGCACAATTCTTTCCTCGGGATTGTAGAAATAGAACTTTTCATGTTAAACTTCTGCTTTTCGTCAAATCTGCTGCGAGCTTGTTTGGCTCGGAGGAATACTGTTGATCAGCGTTCAAGAGAGAAGAAGATTATGGCCCCTCTGCTAAATCTGGACTGTCAACATATTTGGCTTCCTAATACAATGGACAGAAGGCTAATCCACTGAAGAATGTGCTATACAGACTTCAAGGAATTATATCTTTTTTTTGTCTCAAATTATGGCACAGTGCTGCTTTAAGCAGATCTCTGACTGCCATGTTGTTATTTAAAATTATTAGCCAAGTGAGAGAAACACTTTTTAAAACAGCTTATTGAAGAAAGTTTTAGAAAAAAGCCACGGAGAGATGAATTATTAAGTTGTAGCAGAGCAGAAACTGACATATTACATCTCCAAGCAACACATTGAAAATTAATGCTTGGGACCATTCCAGTTTTTGGAATTAGTTTTCTGAAAGCTTCGTCTTTCCTTAATCCTGTTACAGTTCAAGACAACTATGGGTTGCTGTTTTAGCACATATTCTGTCATCACATACACAGTATGCCTGTTTTACATGTTGTTTTTCTTTCTCTTTTCAGTTTCCAAATAAAACTGTTGCACAAGTGGCATCAGATATACTGCACTTGCTCATAAATTATGTGGATAATCTTCAGGGTTTCCCAGCTCATTCTCCCAAGAAAATAGTAGAGGTAAGTGCACTTCTGCAGTGGGGAAAGGTCAAAGGCTATCCTTTATTATTAGTAGCTGGTCGGTGTACCATTGTGTTATTCAGAAGTGTGGACTGGAGGCAGTATTAGTGTGATTTTCTGTATGTATTTAGGAAGAATGGCCCTCTGCTAGCCTGTTATCAAGACTGAAATTGTATTCTGTCATTGCAGATCCTTATAGCAACCATCACTTACCTGCTTCCTTCAACAGAATCATCCCCTCACGAGGCTGATAAGAGGGTAAGTGAATTTCACACTCCATATGTGACGGTGTTGTTTAAGCTTCTTAATATCATTCTAGTTAAACCAAAAGACATTTTATTTCACACATCGAATCTGTTGATACAATGAAGTTTTAAAACCTCTCAATCATCATTGTTAGGCACAGTGTGAATCTTTTTGTGTTAGTTTAGTTGAAGATAATGGTACATGCGATACTTTAGGAAAAGTTTAAATCCTTATACAGATTTTTCTACCTTAGGAGGTTTACATGCTGTAAACCCTCACTATGCAAAACAAACTATGCGTTTCATAGAATATGATCTTCCCAAAAATGAAACGCAAGTCATCGGTTCACTGTCTCATTTATGCATCTGCCTTTGCTAGGGTTCTGAATTGGGACATTATTGTTCTTGCAGTTGGTAGTGTCCCTCCTGCTGTGCCTGTTGGACTGGGTTATGGCCTTACCCCCAAAGACCCTACTGCAGCCAGTGCACGTTGGTGGACCAGATAAGGATAAAGCTGAAAAATCTGTCCTCAGCTGCATCTACAAGGTGATGAGTGTTCTGTAGGCAAATATGCATTTGGGTTAAAAAATCATGCCAGCTTGAGAACACGTGAGTTAAAGTACTATACCTCTATTAGCTACAGTATATCGAGGTGGATGTTGACCTCGCTCGGATCATACAAATGCTGTGACTGTCTTAAGGTAATTCGTTGAACATGCAAGTACACTTTTGAAGTGTATTGCACCCAGACGAGTAATCGTTCGATCCTAATCTAGGCTTCAGAAGACCACGGCAGTCTTGGTGAGAGTGTACTGTAATTGGGCTTATCTCTCTCTCTTTTGTGTGAGGTTCTCTTATACTAGTTTCCTTATTTTTGTAGCTTAGGCTTGAGAGGGTGTCGGCACCATTTTCAGACACATGTGCTGTTTTTCTGGATTTTGAGGAATCCATGTAGCCTAAGCTTTTTGACTTTAACACCTTTATAGCTTAAGTCTTATTTAAGTCAAATAATTCTGATTTAATAATTTCACCAGTTTAAATTGGTGATTCATTTAGATGTCTGCTGTTTAGTTGTCTTCATTATGCGAAGTGGTTCTTTCTGATTCTACTTGTTATTTCTCTATGGGCCTTATTGAAACAGGTTCACACTTAGCTAGCATGCAGTAAAGTCACTGGAGTATACACAGCAGTCATTTAAAACACCTATTACAGCACTCGCCACAGCTGCAGCCTTGATTGTCTTTGTTAACTCTTGAGCTCCTGGCTGGTGTCGCACTGCCATTAAAGTTAAAGTTGACATTTAGCCGTTTGGAGGATAGGGAAGGAATGAAAAAAGACGTATATACAGTCTCATTTAAAAACGATGAAAGATGAAATATCCTGCATTTTGTATGTTTTTTCCCCCGGTCGTGACACAGTTGTGCTTTCTTTTATTTAATTCCCTGTTCTCCCCTGTCCTGTAGGTGCTTCATGGGTGTGTATACGGAGCGCAGAATTTCACCAACCCCAGGTATTCTCCTATTAACCTGTCTGACCTGGCCAGCGCTGATTACGACCCTTTCCTTCACCTGGAGAGCCTGAAGGAGCCCGAGCCCCTGCACTCCCCGGACTCGGAGAGATCTTCCAAGCTGCAGCCGGTCACCGAAGGTAGGCCCGCCCGGCCCGGCGTCTCCGTCTCCTCCCGGTTCCTCTGTGGAGGCTCGAAGGGACGGCGTTCTTTACCGCAGGTCTCCATGGCAACTCCCCCGCAGCCCCCGCCCGGATATTCTCAAAAACGTGGAGTGTTCTTCCTGTCGCCGTCCTCTCAAGCTGACCCGACAGACCGATCTGAGCTCATTTCAATAATGGGGAGGGAAATGTTGTTGTGGGATATATGAGCCTTGATGCATTGCCCAAATGAGAGGCAATAAAGTAATAAAGTTAGAGGAGTTTTGTCAGTATAACACAGTGATGCGGGAAGTAAATGATCACCGATGGGACCATTTTAGGTGATGAAGGGGCTGAGCACACGTATTTTAATAACCCTCAGCCTCTCTCTCAGCCTGCGAGGTACAGTAATTGCGAACGTGTTCCTCAGTGTCCGTTGTTTCAGTAATGCCATGGAGGAGACTGAGTCGAGCTGTGGTCATTGTTGAGATACAAAGGATCTGCCACAGATCTCAACGGGAGGAGCAGGTGGGGGGCGGGTGGACACTACCCTGCACGGGGACTAAGCAGTTAAAAGCCTTTTTAAAAAAATCAATTCACACTCTAACTTCACCCTTAGAATTAAAAGCAACATTGAGACTGGCAGCAAAAAGAAAATTGAAACAGATGAGCTTAATACTTGTAGGTAGCTTGTCCCATAGTGCTGTTCTCAGCCTGTATTAGGCTTTCTCCTCATGCCTCCTTAAGGGTATTAAGGACTAGATAAATGCAGAATCGTTCCTTTTTGCAGCGGCTGTGTGTTTAACAGCAGGTGATTTTGTGGTCTGTAGTGTCTACGTGCTGCTTTTTTATCAAGAGAAAATTACTAATCATTGTGGCCTTGTGAGAGGCATGCTTCTTCCAACTTAAGCACTTTTTTTTGGCAGAGAAACCTGAATGCAGAGATGTCCTTAATAGGCTCAGCCCCGGGATTTGACAAGTCTAATTGTTGAGTATTAAATGGAATAGCTGTTATTATTCAGTTTGTGCCAAGTTGCGATCAAACAGATGTACATTTTTTATATACTGTATATTTTTTGTTGACCCTATTTATTTGTAATAATAGCAGAAAATGTTTTGTGTATTTCATTTGTTTGAAAGAGCATGCCTAATGTAAACGCTATTGTCTCTTTTTCTGATTACATTTCATATGACATGGGAGGGATAGTACTGATTAGAGCAGGATATGTTAGGAATCTGTAAGGGCAGAGAATTAACAGCAGTCATGTCGGTGTTGCTGTGCCTATTTACTTCATCACTTGCTTAATGCTTTCTGGCTGTCTTGAAAATTGAAATTAACGATGAAATCCTAATGATTTCCCCTTGCCCCTTTGGTAAGATCTACCAATCTATGTTAGTGGTTTCTCATTTTTCTCGGATAGATGCATATTTGTTTTATTGAATTTTGCAAGCGATTTATAAACTGTGAAAGGAGAACATTTTTCTGTGTTACTGGATTAACGTTCATAGCTTCCTGGTATAGATTTTTTCTGTGTATCAGATTGTAATTTTTAATTGGATCCCTTTAGCCCCTGGTAGTTTAGCTGGACAGAGTAAAGTTAAATGTGATATTATGTGACTGCAAATTATGAGCTAAATGGTACTGTGATGCCACGTCATAACAAAGTAATAGGGCACACCCATAAAAAGTCATTTTGTATTATTAGACACCGCTCAATACACTGTGTAACTAACGGTATCTGCTCATCTTGCTCTCTTTGGGCCTTTGTTGCTGTTTTGCACCCGGGCCACCCGGTTTTAGCCACGGTTTTCACACCTTGTCAGTACGAGCACGAGTCGATTTAAAGCCACGCACCCTCTTCCCAGTGCTGTTCCGGCCCCAGGTGGACATGTTTGATGGCAGCTCTGGAGGAGGTGCGTGTTACAGGACCGTCTCTGTTCCTTTGCAGTGAAAAGCCGCATGCAGCAGGGCCTCATCTCCATCGCCGCACGGACGGTGATAACGCACCTGGTGAACCACCTGGGCCACTACCCCATGAGCGGGGGGCCGGCGATGCTCACCAGCCAGATCTGCGAGAACCAAGACAACCCTTACAGCGAGTGCCCCGAGCTCTCCACCGAGCTCTTCGAGAGCCCCAACCTGCAGTTCTTCGTGCTGAACAACACCACCCTGCTCTCCAGCCTGCAGATCCGGGCCGAGGACAACATCCCTGGGGGAGGCATGTCGGCTGGCCTCACCACGACCAGCTCGACCGTGCGGATCATCGTCCGGGATATTTCCGGCAAGTACTCCTGGGACTCGGCGATCCTGTACGGGCCGCCACACTGCAGCCAGCCTAGCCAGCCGCTCCGGTTCCTGGAGCCCCAGCCCCGCCAGGACGAGCCGGGCGATGAGGAGGCGCTGCAGGAGGAAGACGGGGGCGAGGCGCAGGAAGAGGACGTGGAGATCCTAGAGGAGGAAGACAGCGAGGAAGAGGAAGGGCTGAAGGACTTCATGGCCCCCCTGGCCAAGCGGAGGTGCAGGGAGGCGGTGCCCTCCTGGGACTCCCTGCGAGATGACGAAGACGCTCTGGACGAGATGCTGCAGTACCTGGGCACCACCAGCCCCGAGTGCCTGCAGCGGGCGGGGGTGCCCCTCAACACCCCGCCGCCGCCGCCCGGCTGCGTGTCGGAGAAGCAGGAGAACGACGTCATCAACGCCATCCTGAAGCAGCACACGGAGGAGAAGGACTTCGCTGAGCGGCGCAGCAACGACCTCCACATGAGGGCCATGGAGCAGGAGGAGCCCGCTCCCACGATGCCCCAGTCCGCCTTCTACTACTGCAGGCTGCTGCTCAACATCCTGGGCATGAACTCCTGGGAGAAGAGGTACAGGCCTTGGGCCCCGCTCTTAAACTCTTCCCCCAGCCGCTGAATTCCAGCGCTGCCCTCTCCGTTTGTGCCGCTTTTCCTTTTAAACCAAAACTGAAGGTCTTCTGTTTTCAGACAACATTAAAAAGCAACCAATGTGCTCAGCCAAGTACTAACATAGTATGTAGATATTAATATCAGGTAACATTTGTTTATTTAATATTTCGGGGAGGTGTTCCTTAAAACTTTTCCGTGCATCTTTTTTTCTCCACCCTGGGCTGTTTGGTTGTCACGGTATGTTTATGTCTCTTCTGTCTTTAAAATTTTAAATTTTACAGTTAGCTCAGTGCAGTCAGTATCTTGAAAAGATCACGTAAACTTGACTAAAACTCGGCTGAAATAACTGAATATGTCTAGTCGATCGTAGCTGGAGGAGATAGAGGCATTCTCACCTTTAATTGAATAGAGCTATTTACTTTTATAATTCCCATTTCACTGGCAGTAACACAGTACTGGAGTGTTGAGGTTCTATTCAGTTTCCTGCAACAAAAGACATCTTAACAGTTTGCTTGTATATAGAGATGTAATGAAAGGTGCATTATTTGTGTAGCAGCAGTAGTACATTTACTCATTACTAATATGCAAACTAAAAAAACACATTACTTTGAAATCCCACAATATGGGGTATTATATAAAAAAAGCTGGAGAAAGAGGGCTGGGGGCATTTTTTAATGAAGCATTGTCCTGCCCTTATTCTCTGGCATCTTTGCATTATTCATCCACAGTGGAAGACTAAGGCATTGCAATTCGTGTGTATTGTGTGCATGTGTTATACCATGCTTTCATGCTGCTTTCAAAATAGCTTACTTTCAGTGGAGAAAACGAAGACCATTACATTGTAACGAGGTAATAAAGAGATCTTCTCAAAGGAGGGGGTGGGGTGCAAAACAAAAAAGAGTTGCTATTTCATATTGTCAGCTTCCCTTTGATGTCCTGAAACACCACAGCTTCCTGCCAGCCCTGCAGCCCTGCTGGTGGTGCTTGGCCAGGTTTTTATCCTCTGCTGGAGTGAACATGAGGAACTCTGATATTCATCAAATAAAAACAGATTTCACTGCTGTGCTTTGGAATCCTGTGTGCGGAGCGGGCAGAGTGTGTAGCTGAAGCTCCTAAAGACTTAGGCCCAGCAGAAAGGTTGCAAATCCAAGGAGGCTGTTTGGCCACCTAGCCTGTTTGGATTGAGAAATAATAAATAACCGAGAATCAGATGGGGGTGAGGAATCATTAGGATTTTGTACGGCCATGGGTTGACATCCGACATGCCTCCCAGTCAGATCAGCTTGTCTTTTAACGCGCAGTTCATTCCAGGAAAGGGGAAGGTGTGACAAGCCTCTCGGGTGCCTGGGAAACCACAGGAGTCGCCACAGTGCTGCGCCATTTTTTTTTTGTTTCACTGAGACATTTCGTTTTGTCACTTCTGGAAACATTGAGGTGTTTCTTCAGAATATGGAGGAGAGTTTGACTTAATGTGCCATGTCCCCTTACAGCAGCAAATTTAGTGCATCTGAGCGCAGTGTGTGAATTAAGAAATTGACACTTGGCTTTAGATATGTTCTTCTGTTTCATAAGTCTTTGTGAGGTCCATGCTCCCTGGCTCCCAGCAGAGAAAACATTAGGATCTTCTTGGTGATATGAGCTGGAGGAAAAAAAAACCTTTGAAACGCCAAATAACAACCGAAAAGACCTTTTTATGCGGACACCACAGACAGGCCCCTATCAGAGTGCCACATTTATATTTTGGGTTATTTGTATCCTGCAGTTGCTGTTCTGTTTATAGAAACATGTTCTTTCCTCTGGACCCGTGATAAAAGCAAGCAAACAGACAATTACCTAAATGTTACTTAATTACGGTAAATCTGTCTTAAGGTGGGATTTGTCAGTCAGTAAGTTGATAACTCTCTGAGTAATCACTTTCTGTTGATCCCGGACTCCTGTGTTCCTTTTTAAATCCAAACCTCAGGGACTGCTCAACGGTAGTCTTGTTTTCTCACTCTGCTGCGGAAGTGAGTGTTTCTGCGCAGTTTGAGTAGATTCTCTTGTGTGTCCCCATGGGCAAGGAGGTGACATTTTAATTTTTTCATAAATCCTAATCCAGTTTTTTTTTTCTGTCATGCAAACACATTTCGTGTTGGTTAATTAGTAGCATGTCATAGAAGCCTGTGATTTTCGAGGGTCTCCGTAATCCTCCCGCATAATGAGTTGATTAAAGCTTTAACTCTTAAAACTCTAGGATTCTATGGGGCAGATGAGGAGGACTATCTGCACTTCAGTAGGAAGATGCCTGGAGAGTTGCCACCACGACGTAGGGACCTTAGCCACTGCAAAAAATGTGGTGACTGTCAAGAAGGGCGCTAACCTGACCTTCTGCGCCCGCCAGCACATTAGCACTCTGTCAGCATCAAACTATGCAAATTGCATGAAAATAATATGGGGAAAAAAAGAAATTAGGGGTGGGAGTGGGCAGGGATCTGGAAGAAAATGAAGCGCAAAAATGAAAATGAGATATTGCCTTACTCTTGGGCAGGTGCAGACCCTCTGAATAATTTACACCTCCCTTATAACATGCAGACTATTGTGAAACCAAGTAATAAGGGGTTTTATAGACACACACACCTTCCTCCAGTGAGCTATCATTTGTCATTTGTCTCTGGCAGCTGTTGGACTGAACATTATTAATTTTCAATAGCAAACACTTGTTATATTTGAATTGCATTTTGCTGACCCTCCCTAAGGCACAGACATAGTGAACCTACCGTGTTGGCTCTGGCACCTTTTCACTTCCTGGGTCTTTGTCCCCCTGGTAACACTGACAGCAGTGAAGCTCTCCACTGACCACCTTGCTAGCTCAAGTTGGCAAAGAAGTAGCTGTCTTTCATACTGACACACCTCTGTCACAAGGACCCTCAGCAAATGAATTTTTTGCTTTGTTTTGCAGCTTCTCCGACATCCCTGCCATTTTTTGTTTTGTTTTAATCTTCACACGTCGTGTTCTTCTGCCTTGCCTCGAAACGTTACTGCTAAATAGCCTGATGCCCATTCGTGGTGACTCGTGTTGCCATGGTTGAGGCTCCTAAGCTGTGCACGTTAAGAAGCCTGCATGGCTGTTAAGATGGCAGCTGGGCCTGTTCAAAGTAATTGCCCACCTGCGAGGCAGGTTACATTTTGCATCCCCCATTTTTGCACTGCTCATGTCTTGGCATAACCCCTGGATCTCGTGTCGGTTCCTCGATGTTGGAACGTTCCTCTGCACTTCAATGTCAAGCTGAGCTGCTTTCTTTCTTTCTCTCATGGGGGGCAGGTTATATATTGAGAGGCATTAAAAAACAGAATAGGTGCTATTGATTCCAATGTTCAGTGGTTGCGTTTTTAAGGCCTCTCAGTTTATAAGGCAGTGACCAATTGTATTAAACCAAAATAGTTTCTGATTTGGTTAACAAAAAATGTAGCCCTGTGTGTTGAAAGAAATTGTATGGCTTTGTGTTAAAACAGATCTATCAGGAAGGTCTAACTAACACTTCTCCTGTTTCTAGAAGAGGTGAAAGCTTTATTCAGGAATTAGAGTTGTTTTTGTGTTTAATTTTTACAGGAGTAGTTTCCACCTTCTCAAGAAGAATGAGAAGCTACTAAGAGAACTGAAGAATCTAGACTCCAGACAATGGTAATGTCAGCATATCATTCTGGTCAAAAGTTCTGTTGAATTAAATGCTGTTGTTGTTGTAAATTAAGTTTATCTGTCCCTCCTCAGTCGGGAAACACACAAGATAGCAGTGTTCTACGTTGCTGAAGGACAGGAGGACAAACACTCAATTCTGTCCAACACCAGCGGAAGTCAAGCTTATGAGGACTTCGTCTCAGGGTTGGGCTGGGAGGTAGGAGCCTGATTGACAAACCCTCTTTCACACAATTACACAACAGGTCCCTTGTAGTAATGATGTCCTGTAGTAATGGTATTCTGTTTAAGCAAAAAAATGTGTGCAGATCGGTGTAAATGTGCTCCTTTATCTCCAATTTCGAATCAAACATTTTCTGTGGCACGCTTCCTTCGGCTGCAGAATTTCCCAACCCATACCCAGTGCCCATATGATGATAACTGGGGACGCTGTGCGATGGGAGGTGCCGTTCATTGGATGAGACGCTTAACTAATGTCCCCACTGATCGGTCATTTTACTTCCTATGGCACTGCTTGTAAAAGTAAGGATGTTAACCCTGTTGTCCTGGCTAAACTCCACTGTTGGACTGTACAGTTTTGCTTTCCTTACGTTCCTCCTTAATTCACAGGGTCAATCCGTTTTTCACTCCTCCAGCAGATCTGCTGGGTATTGGGCTTGCTGGCACAGAGTGAGAGCTAAGCATCATCCGTTGTGTGATCACTACCTGTATCCTGTATATAAAACCTCTTGACATTCTTTAGGGTAAAAAACACTGTAGAAATACCTTTATTTTATTATATATTATTAACTAAAACAACCATATAAACTGAGTGGGGAACATGCCAGGATAGAGTTCTTGCATGTTTGTCCTGCTTCGTTTCTACAGACCTTTGTCAAAGCAGCTCATTTCTGCATGCTTTCTGTTGCCATAATGAGAACTAGGCTTTGATGGTTTTGAACTTTTTTTTTTGCATTCAGGTTAATCTGACAAACCACTGCGGCTTCATGGGGGGGCTTCAACGGAACAAAAGCACAGGACTAACCACTCCTTATTTTGCAACGTCTACTGTAGAAGTCATGTTTCACGTTTCAACAAGAATGCCCCCAGACTCTGATGATTCTTTGACAAAAAAGGTGAGTAAAATTAATTTACCACCAGATTTGTTTTTTTCCCTGAATGTTTTTCCTAGGGCCCTGGCCATTTTGTTCTGCAGTACCATTTTTAAATACATTTTTTTACACATGAAAAGTTCTACAGAAGTCATTTAGTTCAGCCGACTGCTGTTATTTCAGCATGCATCCATTTGCACAGGTTGAGCTCAGATGCGCTAATGGATAGCAATCAGTCTGCACATGTTGTACCCTAGTGACAAGCGACCTTCTTCCTATTGTTGTGACTTTCACAAATGTTCTCCAAAGTTTAACTGGAGAGAGCTTCCCTGCTGACTTCCTTTTTCTCTTTGGGGCATAAGGAAGAAAAGTCTCGAAGATCTCCGGGATTAAAAATGTTGCCGTACTGCTGTTTAGGCAAATTTAGCATTTGAACAATGTGAAGTCTCGGTTTTTAAAGACTGCGGTGCATACAGCACAACATCCTGCAAACAGGAGCAGACATGAGATTCACTGCTAAAGGGCCATTTTCTCTTTGGCAGCAATCACCTTCTTTTTAATTATCCTCTCCCAATTTTTCTTCTCGGACAGCCTGGACAAAGCCTTTCCTCCCAGTCATGCTAACTTTATAGAGATGCTGCTGTTCCGTTCTGATTATCCCTTATAAATGCCTTTCTGTATTGGTATTTTTCTTTGCAGAAATCTAATAAATTCCGCATTAACAATAATGACTTCAGCTTTGCTGGTCGGATATCGGGCCTGGTGATATGCGTCCCAGTTCAGAATGAACAATTGGATACCATTAGGCTTGTCCCCTCGTTTCCTTCTACATATATCTTTGGAGGTGATAAGGTGCTAATCCGTTCAGCAGACTCATTAATGAGCGCAGACAGGAATGCAATATTGAAAGGGGGAGGGAACTGCTTGACCTCAGAGGGAAGTTCAGGGGACCTAATTGGATTATAACCATCAGTCAGTACAGAGAAATGGCCTTGCCTGTAGCTAACCAGAGCCATCAGTGTCGTCTTTTCATTTTGGATCTTGGGTCCGGGAAACAGTATTGCAGACAATGGCATAATTAGCTGTAATAAGCAGACAGGGTTAGCTGTGAGGTTTAATTTCCCTCCTGTTGTTTTGCATGATTTATTCAAGAGGGCGTTTTTAGTTTGCATTTGGCACGGCTTTATTGGGGACTGATTTAAAAGGTTTTAAGAAGATACAGAAAACATAGTTCCGTGCTTTTAATGTGGAACTTAGTTTCCTATTGTTCTATTGTATCTCTATTACAACACGGCTTTAGTTTTCTAATTTGTACTGGGGCTGGAGGTCACATTTTGTTCTGTCGTCTAAACAGCTTATCATCCTGTGCTTTCTTTGTCTGTTGGATTTCAGGTGTCGGTGTATCTGTTAATTTAGTCATTCTCTATTTGTTTCTGAATACTTGGGTGGGAATTGGAGGAAGAGCCTGCATGTCTTAGCCTGCAGAGCACCAGAGCAGCCCTTCTTTTGTTCACTGCGAGCATTAAGATATAACTCGGAAGATATTTGTGCGCACACTATGCAGAGGAAAGTGCTCCAGCTTAATGGTCTACATGACCGAAACACTTAAGAGCAGGGGCGGGCAAACCTTCTACTCACTCCTGTAGGTTTGAGAGACACCTTGCAGTTAGCACCTGATTAACACCTGCACAGCAGCATGGCACTGCAGGAAGAGGGCTGCCCACACCGTCCCTAACGCATCCTTAAATTAATGTTTTTCTGAGAAATACTCTTCTGTGTGTTACAAACTGACAAGAAACAGGATTAATGGGACTGGTTGGTTTCATTTAAAGACTTTAAGGAATGACACTTTAAAACAGATGAAAGGAATTTGTGAGAATCCAAGCTGCACTATTTCAGATTTGGTGCCCGATTCCCAACCATTGATTCAATTTCCTAAACGAAATGCTTGGCTTATCAGTGACAGCCTGGCTTTTATTTGCCATCCTTCATTGCGTCAATTTTCAGAGGTATCAGGGAAAACAATCTGCTGTTCAGCCATTTAGTCACCACAGTGCATCTTCAAGGCCTGTCCCAGACCTGGAGGGCGACTCTGTAACTTGCACAGCACATGGCTGTAATGTATCCAAATTAGATTTGACCTGTCCCCCTGGTTAGGATTATATCATGACTCTGTAGGATTAAATGAAATTTGACCCGGTGGGGGAGACGGTATCCAGAAAGAGATCCACAGATAAAACCCTTAAACAACGTTAACCAGACACTAAAGTGTGTCAGCGCATCCAGCAGGCACAGTTTGTTTATTTATTGTTTGTTTTTCCATGTGTGTGCACACACGGAGAAGACAGGCCACAGAAAGGGTAAAATTGTCCCTTTCAGGACTGACACTGTTAAATTATGTCTGGCCCGGCTATGATTGAGTATATACAGCAAGATGGATGAGGGACATCTAGACTGGTCCAGTTTGTCTCTTGGCTGTCATGCTTCAAGGTCAATGGAGACAGTCCAGTGTTGACAAAACTGTTTTTACTTGCGTTTTTGGGATCAAGAAATGTGTATGTACACGTCTGTCTATGTATGTGTTAAGAATATAATCTCACAAAGCTTGACTGTATTATAAGTCCCTGTTTTTATAATATGATTATTTTAAGATTTACTCATCTGCTCTCTGCTCTAGTCTACCTGACTGATTAGTTTAGTTTTAGGCTGTTTAGTTTATTTAGATAGATAGATACTTTATTGATCCCGTGAGGGAAATTGCATGGAATTTACATTCCATTCAGGTACTGACCTGTTTTCATTTTCATTATTCCCAGACAGTTCTAAGGAATGAGTTTTACACTGTGGTATCCTTTGTAATTAATGGTCTCAAATACCAAAAATGATAAATGTATTTGGTAAAATGTGGCTCGCAAATGAGATGGACAATTACAAGTCTTCAATACCGGAACATTTCATGTCAGCCTGCACACAGCAGCATCCAGGAAGGGCTTTTGCCTATTGCACTATTAATGGAAGTGTTAAGTCCCATGGTCAAAATATTGTGCCTTCTGGGAAGCAGAAAGTTCTAGTGTCTTTTTGCACGATGTATTGAAAAGCTTGTTTAAAAACATTCCCAAAGTTCTCCTAAAAATAAAATGCCTAACCTTTCTGTGTGCCGACTCAAAGGACCAAACTTTTGTTGTGCAGCTGAGGCACCTGGGTAATGACGAGGTGCACATTGTGTGGTCGGAGCACTCCCGGGACTACAGGAGAGGGATTATTCCCACGGAGTTCGGAGACGTTCTTATCGTCATCTACCCCATGAAGAACCACATGTACAGCATCCAGATCACAAAAAAGCCCGAGGTACGGCATAGCCCCTTTCACACTTTCAGAACAGGGCTCTAGGAGCAGGGAGCTGTTTGTTGCAATGGAAGGCTAAATGTTTAAGCCTCTCTGAAATTGTCAGCCAGTCCAGTTTTGTCTGGAAAACTAATGGTCACATGTTGTGACCATGAACGTAACGATCAGAAGTTTTGAGTAGTTGCAATGATGAGTGATAGATTCTTTGCAAAGCTGGTTTAAATGATTTTGGTTACTCAGGTTAGCCAAATATGTGGGATAAATGGATAAATAAGAGCAGTTCAATACATGCATGTACGTGCAATAAATTTTACCTTGCTCCTCAGTTATTTGCAGCGTAATTTAATAAATAAAATGTCTCGAATCAAATTCCGGTATTGGAAGATAAAATGCAAGCTTTCCTATTCTGGTTTATCCCAGTCTGCGGAAATGCAAAAAGATAAGTGGATAAAGACCAGGGAGGTCTGGCAAGTATAAATGCCAATTCATGTACTAAAATAACATAATAATGACATTTTCTTTGTAAGGGATTGTTTTTTTCTGTATTTCTATGCACATCAGGAACCATCTCATCTTGAGTCACATGTATTAAAAATCCATTAAAAAAAAAAATATATAAACTATAGCAGTGTTTGAATTTTTAACTTGGAGAAGTTTGAGAAGAATTTTTCATTTTCTGGAATTCGAAGCAAAGAACTTTCAAAAATGTGCTTTTGTCAAATGAGGCATCTCCACCTTACCTCCAAGCATGTTAACTGTCATTTCTTCAGTACTTTTAACTTGCAGGAGTCGCAGACCGGAAACCTTTCTGAGTGGTTTTTCATCAATTAGGTCCCGTTTTTTGGTCCGTTGTTTGACGGTGCCATCGTGGATGAGAAGGTTCTGCCCACGCTGGTGAGGGCCACAGCTATCAACGCCAGCCGGGCTCTGAAGTCCCTCATTCCCCTCTTCCAGAACTTGTATCCTTTCTGTCTGCACCTTCAACACTAAGCTTCCTGCCGCGGAAAGGTAACAGGGGTGGTTTCCAGAAAGGTAATTTAGCGGTGCTTACTGCTACTGTACTGTTGTTCATGGTCTTCTTAGACGCTTCACGGACACAGAGCAGATTTCAGTGCAAAATAAAGGTATTTCCACATTGTTGTCAGAGTAGAGCTTTCGCCTTTCTGCCCACCCCTGTGATTGTTACAGTTGAACTGTGAAATATAGTTGGACAGTATGGGCTTATGTGATCACAGTCCATTGAATAATACTCATCCCTGAGTGCTTTAGAAAGGAAATAAATATCCTAACTTTTTTTTTTGTTTTTATAGTAATATATTGTTTGTGAGTGTATACCTTCTCGTACGAAGAGACATTTCTCACTCAAGTCGAGCCTGAGCTGATGAGACAGAGCTGCAGATGGGCACAGGCATGCTGTATTGATCAAGCTTAATGGCATTACAGACCTCCTCTCTCAGTGCCATGCCGCCTCATGCTTCTGTTGCAAAGAATTGACAGCAGCTTTGTTTCATAACCAAGGAGGAAAATGAGAGAATTTTGACTGCTCAATAAATATTGACATCTTATTTTCTTCTCCAGAACCTGTAGACATTACATTCTATATGAAATGTGCTATAGACAGTGTGGCTCTGAATTATTGGCACTGATCCTTGTTGCCTGCCTGTGCCGAAGGAAAATGATTTGCTTTGAAATGCTATAGCAATTTAAGTTTTTTTTATTATTATTATAGTTAAGGCGCATGAGAGTCAATCCCATGGTAAGGACCAAAGATGGTGCTTATTATTTTTCTTTTAGAATTAAATTGCCTCATTTTAGCACTGTTTGAGGCAGTTAACTACTTTACAAAATTGTGTAGGTTTTCAACTTTTTTTTTTCCTCTGTGGGATACAGATACAGCTAGGGACCAGTCAGCCTGTCACGCTGTTCGGTGAAATATCTTTAATTAAAGTATTAACGCCTTAATTCTGTTACCATGTTCATATAGCGTTGACAGAGAGCTGGGTTTGATACAATTTAGGCCATGGTTTCAGACCCTTCTGGGAACTGAGTTCAAACTATACAGACCGGTTGTGTATTATATTCTAGTACAATATGTACTTCGTTGCTGGAGGATGACTTTTTTGTGTTGTTGCATTGATGCACATTAGCAAGTTGTAATGGGTGACCACTCCTGGAAAACTTGTGGAGTATCTTTTCCCTAATCCTGCTGATACTCCTGTCCTTCTCTTTAAAAGCTTCCCTTGTTGTTTTTAAAAAATTCCATAGCCAGAAAGAAATGTTCTCATCTGACTTGTCCTCAAAGCAAAAAACATTGTTTGGCTCAGCTTGAGTCTTAGCTCCGAGCAATCTTGCCCATCTGTGTATCTATGCTGTGCTCAATACAGGAGTGCAGTATTGATTGGCGTGTGTTGCATGGGTCGATCATTCTGACAGCCAGAATTACAGTCATCTGTCATTATCGACGGATGTCTTTCCAGCCCGATCTCTCCCTAGCCTGTCCTGTCTTATCTTGCTTTGGTTATAATTGGACTACATTTAGTTGAAAACTCTGATTGTTTTGTCATGGAAAAGGGTGCTTTATGCTGGTGATTGTGTCCCCTGTGTCAAATGTAATGGCTTGATCAAGCAATTAGACTCTTAATGCATCACAGGGGAGTGAAGAGTAGATAGGATTTGAAGTAACGATTGGGCCTAAGGGAAAAGTACAGGCTAGATCTATTACTTACCTGTTGATACCGTTGACAGAAGCAGGAATTTTTCTGTAGTGAATAATTCCAAAGCACGGCTTTAAATGCCTTTGATTTGAGCCACTGGAGACTGCAGATTACAATAACATCTGTGTTGTCTAATTGAGCTCTTTAGAGCGGACTTTTAAAGAAGCTCAGAGTAGTTAACCGTTATTCCTCTGTTTTTAGTCAATGATGAAACTCCTTCCTTATTCATTAAATGCATTATTATTTGTTCATAATAGCACAAGGTTTTATGTATCTCTTACAAGATAAGTTAATGCAGTGTAAATGAAAAGCTGCAAGGCACATTATTAAACGTGTCATAAAACCCGAAAGTGTGAAAAAATGTGCTATCATTGTGGTCCATTTGCTGGCTGACGCACTCTAATTTCAGAACAGTAGGTAACACATCAACAAGAAGCTCAAGTACTAAGTGAATAAACCAGAGAGCGCCACACAATTATCTTTTGTTGGGTGGTGGTGCTAACACAGCAATGTGATTAGCTTGAAAGAAAAGAGCCTCTTTGGAAACCACTGTTTTCTTTGAGCACACTGCAGATGAGGCTCATCTAATGACATCAAAAGAGTGACACTTTTAAAATATGCCTCTTTTTTTTTTTTAACCCACTGATCCCTTTTTTCTATAAGATAGCGTAACCAATAAGTTTAAAAAATAAGCACATCATCAGCATCGCATCAATCAGTTTTAAAAGGTTAGTTTTTGCCTCTACGCATTTCCCCTTGAGTCATATTGAGTCCCCTTGGCCAATAGATGTTTCCATCTGCCTGTAGATCCCATTAATCCATCATTCACCATGACTGAGAAATTTACACTTTAAAGCAAAAATTGCTTCTGGATGGAAAAACTGTAAAGGGCTAATTGGCTATAGTACGAATATAAATCGGATTGTAGTGGACAGACAGCTCCACTACAAAAAATAAATTAGGATTACAAAGTTTAGAGTAAAAAAAAAAGTCTTGACTCCGATGTGTTAGATTTAGTGGAAATCTAAGATGCTGCACTTCATTTATATTGTGGGTTAGAGTTGCAGTGTGGGTTCAGGCTGTGCAAACGATGCCCAGAAAAAGTACACCTTATATGGTGACATTGCCACGATGTCCCTTGTGTTCTTGCTTTCTGATCGAAAGATATGTGTGTGTCTGACCTCCTTTCCCCTGCGTCGTGTTGGTCTTGCTCTTACAGCTGGTGGGCCATTTGGTTAGAGAGTCCCAGCTAGCATTTTTAGGAGTGGAATCGGAATCGTGCCTCGGGTCCCACACCCCTGTTTTATTCTCTCTTGCCTTCCGACTGATCTGCCTAGCTTGGGAGCTGGGGTGGGGGGGAGGGGTGGTTAGAGACACAAGCTGTTTGAAAGACAAAAAAAAAAAAGGAAACTCAGCAAGCTACAGCCACCATCCATCTGTTGTAGGCCAATTGTGGAGACCGGGACACAATAAAAAGAAAAAAGACAGGGACGCTAAGCAGCTTCCCTATTGGACAGCCGCTCCAGTGGTGTGTGTGAGAGGGAAGCGTTGAGGTGGGAATTGAAGCTGGGTGACAGCGGCTCCTGATTCTCTGTGATAAAGCTGCCGGGCTGCTGGGGTCAGCATATGGCTTGGCGTGATAGGCAGAGCTTGGGTCAGTGCCTTCTCCCTCCGATTCTGGCTTCCAAAAGGCAAGTGAGCTGATGAATCCTGGCTCGGGGTCTCATTGTTTCGCGGCACTTCAGCACTACAGCCAGATAGGAACATGTCCTCCGGTTTGCCTCGCCAGCTCTCACAATAGGCCCATTGTGCCATCGCAAACGCTTTGACCTGCTGTGGCTCAGGGGCAGGGGCTGGGGGGAGGAGGGTGGGCAACTTTCTGTCTTTCTGATCGCTGCCTGTTGGTGGGAAAATAAGAAAAAAAGCAGTTTAGATCTAATCTCTTTACAGTACTTGCTTGCAGTGGTTACTTCTAAAGGCTTCTGGCCACTGATTAATTTTTCATTAGAATGGGAAGAGAGCATTGAATAGAAAAAATAGAGTAATTAATTGATGGGGTACTGGACCAGATAGTATTTTGTTTTTCAGGGATGAATGCAATTGAAGTCATTTTAGTCTAATTAAGCAATCACAATCATGCAAGCAAACAATACCCAGTTACCATTAACAGGCCTGGCTCTTTAAATTGAATTAAAGTCTGTGATTATCGTGAAGTTACAGTTCAGAAGCTGAGTGGGATAGTTACATTCTGCATTTGTGCATGTGGTGTCACAACTTGGACATCGTTTTGCCCCGTAGAACAGATAGGTAGAACAGGACCTCAAAAACTTTACTACAGAGTATTTGATTGGCAAGATTTTAAAGGACATGTCTGCAGTGGTGACCAGCGATGTATGTGTTACTAGAAACAATCTAAATTCCAAGGAGGATACTGAGGCTGATCTGTAGATCTCGGAGACGAGATGTTCAGACAACATATGTGCCTTAAAATACCGTCGATTGAAGGAAAGCTAGGAGATTGCTTTTAGGCAACGCAAAAGTTCTTAAATCCTGTGCAATGTATGAGCAGGTGAATAGTATTTTATTGTTATTTAGTACTCTCTTCTATGTTGAGAAATACTTTTTTTTATTTACAGAATGAAAGTAAGCAAAGCAGGAACCTTTTTTTCAAGTACACGCATTTAATTGTGCAATTGTTTGTCTGTCTATGTAATTGCAATGCTAACAATACTTTTCATGTGGTCTGTTAGGGCTTGTCCTGTTCCATCACCTCAATGAAAGTAGTGTAAAAGAAGACAGACAATGCATGTTCATTCCCTTTCATAAATGTTTTAGAGTATTTTTGCAGTGCAAACAAAAAAACACAAACCAGTAAAATTAATGTGCATCAAATCAAAATTGCCGTCTAATTATTAGGAATATCGGTATAACTTGAAAATGTTTTATTTTTAGTTACTTGTTCTTGTATGTATATATTGACATATTCTTTAAAAAGTATAAGGGTTGGAAAAACAATAGCCTGAAGGGGAAAAGCTGTCACATTAATTAATCCCACAGATTTAAAGATATAACTACAAAATACATCAAGATCTGCATTTTATAGGCTGGATTGCATTTAAGTCAAGATTAATAGGTAGAAATTTGATGTTGAACTCCAGTCCCAGATCTTGTCAAGCTCCCTGAGGCTCAATGCATTAGTCAGGCCAATCTGTTGCTAATCTTGAATGCTGTGACATTGGTTTTAA